CTCGCATGAGCATACTAGGCCAGATAGAGACCAATACATTACAATTTTGTGGAATAACATCAAACCAGGTTAGCTGTGTATACCATTTTTTCAAACGCAATAGAACGATTATATTATTACAGTACGATTCAACTGATATAGCGCATGATGAATCTTCATTTTCGCAGAGTATAGAGGTAGGTACCTACCATTTTCGATGATCACCATATTCGTATGGTGATCAAAACTCATTATGTGTTTAATAATTTGTGATTAAACACATAATGAGTTTTGTTTGGTAAACCGTAAGATGTAAATAAGTGATCGTCTCACTTACTCAACGACAATGTGCCGTGTTAAGAAAATCTTTCTGCACTGGTAGATGTGTGAGCCATATTCGTTGTCTTACTGTGATAAACCATCCCTGTTGCCTGACGAACAACTGATATTATTATAACTAAAGGACCATTTACACAAAACCAGTAGTCGAGCCAATCCAGTAAGCCAATTCAATAATATTAGAAACCGTTCTATTTCATTGGACAAACTTGATCATTGGCTGGAAGATTATCTCCTTTAAGTACAAGGTCAATACTGGTCTGGTTTACTGGGCTTGTCGATTGTAATTAATTCATATAGCCACAATTACTTAATTTTTCAGGATACAAGAAATATTTCGAGAAACGTACCCAAGACCCGCTACTGAATATACCTTATGACTATTTAAGCATTCTACATTACCCGCCAAGAGCCTTTTCGAAAAACGGTCAAATTACCGTCATGGGTCAGGTGATTATTCTATGCGAATAAGCAGTCCCCTGATAATATTCCAACCGATATACAACTACAGTTCTTATCTAACAGAGAAATACGATGATAAAGGGGCATTATACGCTTTTGGTCACAAACTTACGATCAGCCTTACATTATTAAACATTATTAAAGCTACATAACATGCACAATCACAGACTAAAATACATTAAAATTGCCGTTTAATTTCACGACTAAATTACTAAATTTAAAAACACAACTATCAACACTGGACAAGTTCCTTGCACTGGACCAATTGCTTAATATGTTTATATCAGTTTTATTTTGAAGATAATCAAAGCGTATATATCGTACCTGTAGGAAGAAATCAAAATTATATAAATCATTGATTGATTGAAATAAGATTAAGAGTAGTTGAATATGCGTTGTTTAAACAAACTGTTATTCGTAGAATGAAATGATTAATTAAAAATTACATACCTAAACATTAATTTCACCAGGTCAGTAATGACATAAGGCTCGGTCAGCGCGAAGGGTTGAGTGAAACGGACGTGGAAAAAATCACTTATGTATTCGGACATGAGTGTATTGAAAGAAATAGGCAATATTTATTGAAAACATGTCCCAGTGCCGTTAAAGTAAATGTGCAATGGAAAAATATAACACAAGACGAGATAACAGATTACTTCAAAGAACGACTATGGCCGTACGGCATTGTAAATTACAAGTTAAAAGATAAAATGGAATTTAGTGAGTAAAAGTTAAAAGTTATATCCCATTTGTAAAATAGATATAAGAATTGTTAGATAGGAAGGCTTGAGCCCCTGCAGTGGGGACGTAAAAGGGGTGATGATGATGTAACCCTTAAATCTCATATTTAACTTAACAACATTAGCGAAATTTCATTAAATTAGATAAATGCTTAGTTTTTTTTTTATAAGATATTACATTATTAGATAATGTACTTACTCTGGTTATTTATCATTATATCTAGCTGCTGAAGAAAGAGAAAATATCAGATCAGTAATTAATCATATAGAAAAAGAAACGTGCATTAGATTTAAAGACGTTTCAGAAGAAGAAAATAACGATAGTGATGATACTAATGATAACAATAATCCTAATTATTTGCCGGGTTCGGATACTAATGTTGATGGAGGTAATTTACCCGGTAGTGATGCCGGTATTGTAACCGGTACCGGTAGTGGCAACGAAGCGGCCGACGTTGGAGCTATTAGTGGTGGTGGCAGCAATACAGATGGAAATGTTAACGATATAGAAGGCAACGAAGGAACTGCTAACGAAAAATTACAAGCCAGTGATAAAGAAGCTCCTAGTGATGGTGGTGTTGCCAGTGACGGTCAAAACAAATCATTATTACAATTAAACAATGAAATTGTGAAAAGCGATGGTGATAACGCAAGTCAATCTCCTGCAACTGCAGATAATGATAATATTGCATTAAGGAAAGGTAAGTAATGTTATGCTATTAAAGTAATGTAGGGTAATAACGTCAAAGGAAGTTGCTAAAAATTGCTACAAATTTTACTGTATAATAACTACAAATAAATACTAACGGAAAGTTTATTTTTATATTAAACAATTGTATTCAGGATTTTTTTTTCCATTCTATTTTTTGAAACATTTAAGAATATTTAAAAGTATTTCTAGAGAAATTATTTATGTGGCTATGGCGCTTTCATATTAGTAGCATGTGATTTGACGTTAAATTTAACGTTTAAAGTTTTTTAACAACGTGAAATCCTTCAGGTGTTACAAAAAAGCAACGTAAAGCAAGACTATCGAAAATAATAAAACCGGATCATTTTATAACTCAACATTATTCAAAACTGCATCGACGGCATGCAGCCGATGTACTTGTGTTCGTAAGATCTCCAGAGCCAGGATGTACTTGCCCTCCACCAGGGAGACCTTCTGGGAATGCGGTATAATATATTCTCAATTTTTTTTATAACTGTATGATAAGCAAACTAAAATGAGGATCTCTTTTTCAGGTATTGAAAATTAACGCCGATTGCTTTAATTCTGTAAATGACTTGCTGCATCTGTTTGTGCATTTGTTAGGATTAGATCATCAACATAACATGCATGACCGTGATGACTACCTTCACATAATGTGGGACAAACTCACTCCAGGTTATTAAAATTTCGTAAAACACTTACATGTAAACATATTTATAGAAACCCAGTCATCATATCCAATATATTAATATTTGGTACTAGAATAGTTCTCGACCTGTGATCCCTACCAAGTGATCCGCGAAATCTAATAATATTATAAGCGTTACAAAAATAATCTATTTAATAATTTTATATACAAATCTGTATCTACGTATAATAAGACTTTTAAATCTAGACTTTAGTACAGCATGTTAAACCAAAACGGTCCATGGATGCATAGCTTATTATACTAACAGTGGTCCGCGGTGTCATGGGACGATGGTCCCTAAAGCCTAAAAGGTTATGTATAAATAAAAACGTTTAAAATATAACTACATCGTGAATGTATTGCAGATATTAAGGATGAATTGAGAAACAAGCTGCCACCAGCTGCGTCCGTCGGGTTTGGTTATGATTATCAGAGCGTCATGCACTACCCATGGCTCCAAATAAAGAATGGAGTCACAAGTATCATGTATCCAATCTGGGTGAGACTTATTACTTCTATTATTGCCTATTTCTACAAAGTCAATGTACAGAATCTACAAAAAAAAAATTTAGAATACACGAGGGATATTAGTTCCAAAAATAGGTATAATTTTTTTTGTTAAAAATCACTTACAGAATGATGGCTGGGCTATGGGCCATTGGCAAGGTCTCAGTTCTACTGACGTCCAAAAACTCAACAATCTCTATTTCGAGCAGTGCGTGGAAAGGAAAAAGCAAGACAGTTTAAAGTAAAATAAATTAAGAAATTACTGACAATCTTTTATTAAATTTTCACATAGTTTAAAGAAGGTTGGGATATATTTGATCAAATTTCGGCTGTTTGGGTGGATTACCTGAACATTAATAAGAATACGCTCTGTAGTAGCGAAAAAATAGCAAGTGCTTGAAAGATTCGTCAGTCCTGTTAGGTTCTGCGTAGCTCAGTGCTTAGAATAGTCGCCCGGATAGCGAGAGGTCATTGATTCGAATCCCATCTCAGGGTGCCAGGGACCAAGTGGAATTTTTAAAGCATTTTTCACCAAAAATATTTTTCAATATAGCATTGTGAATGCGAAATTCATCAAATATAATAAATAATTTGTCAAAAATATTTTTAATCTAATTCGTGAGTGAGTCTCAATTATTCAATCAATATTTAGACGGTTCTTCGCGAATATACTGAACCGAATATACTAAATATACTGAATAAAAGAGAAATTAAAATAACAAACTAAAATAATGGTTATTTGATAGTGGTTGTAGTCCCAATATAAACTAAATAATGACTTTTTTAAAGACTTTTATTATTTCTCGAACCATAACTGAAAATTTTGAAATCTATACATATTATAAAACAATGTCGCTTCCCGCTGATTGTACACTGAGATCTTTTAAACTAAACAACGGATTTTAATACGATCCAACAACAAATAGGTTGATTTACAAAATTTATATGTATAATACAAGACCACGCGTGCGAAGCCGCTGGCGGAAAGCTAGTTACTGATAAAATACACGTAGATTAATTTTCGTATTTTCTAAATTACTTTAAAAAATAAGTTGTTTTTATAAAGACAGCATCAAAATTAAAAAATATTAGGAATTTAAGGTATATCTTTAATATGCATTTCATTGAATAAAATTAGACTTTAAAAAATAATTTTGATGTTTTTATGAGCTCATGTAAATTTATTTTTCTTTGAGCTTTTATTTTTGTATTTGTTTGTGAATGGATTTGACCAAGATTCTATTGACGTACATACATATATACAATCGTAAAATGGGCATATTTTTGTCTTTTGTCTTGCAGACAATAAATATCTAAAAAGTTTTTAAACCAACCAAATAGAGCGGCCCTTATTTGGGTTATCATCATAAATCGCTTTAAAAAACTTTTATAAAAAATAAACGTTGTTTTGATGCCTAAAAAAGTATTTACGTATTTTAAGAATATTTACTCAACTCAAATTCTCAAATAGTTGATAATAAAAACAAGCATCTATAAATTACAATTTACGATAGAAAAATGAAACGTATTTCATATGATATAATAGACGAAATCTCATTTGGGTAGAAAGCATTTATACTATTCTGTATTTGCCATTTCTAAAGCGTCGGCGTTTTCTATATGTTATGTTATTTTCATCATTTTCATTATTGAGATCTGCCTCATGGTCATCCTGCTTTGCATGAAGTGTCTCAGCTTCTGTACCTCTATTATCATTTTGGATATTGACATTATTTTCGTCATCTTTATCAATGTTTCCGTTGTTTTCGTCATCACCATCATTATTTTCATTACCTTTGTCATTATTATCATCATTGTCATCATTATTATTCTCATCTTTATCAATATTTCCGTTGTTTTCGCCATCACCATCATTATTTTCACTACCCTTATCGTTATTATCGTAATTTTTATCATTATTGTCATTATCTTTATAATTATTTTCATTATTTTTGTCATTATTTTCATCGTTGCCTCCATCGTCTTTAGGATCTTGCTCGTTAGGGTCATTTGAGATGTCAGGATTAGTATCTTTAAGATTGTCATTTGTATTCTCACGCATAACTATTTTACACGTATCAAGTAAATCGCCAACTCTTCTTTTATTGCATTCATGTCCAAATATATAACGTAACCTCATTTTGTCCAACGATGATAGATCGCCTGAAGATCCTATAACTAATCCGGGTAACTGTAACAATTTTATAAATTACCAGATGTTTTTTATAAAATTCCGGTGATTTTGCCTGCGTTAATTGTAGCTTATGTATCCGCGTATGATGTGGCTTCTCGTAGGTGAAAGAATTTTAAATCGGTCCAGTAGTTTCGAAGCCTATTTGATTCAAACAAACAATCAAATCATTTCTTTTTATAAAATTAGTATAGAAGACAAATCAACAAAGATATATAATTTACCGAATTAATAATGTTAATTATATTCTTAATGAAAAATGCTTTAAAGTATCACTTTGTCCCTTAAACTCTGAGATGTTTTTTCGCAATCCGGGCGACTGCTCTAACAACTAAGCTAACCAGGACCTTTTTTTAATATACTCCCTAAGTGAGCAATGCGCTGTGACGGTCCTTTGCCGCTTCTGCCGCCCCCTTTTCGGCCCACCTTTTGCAGTACAGGTTCCATCACTGGTTGGGCATAAGGCTTAAGAACATTAGAGGGTGTGCAAAGTCCAACAGACACGCAAACCCGCTAGACTGCCCCCCGTCAAAGGTAAAGAATGCGCAACTGAGCAATCTCCTACCCTAGCCTGCCTATTAGAGGGATTCATCTGGGCTGAACCCTCATGACTCCCTCTCCCCGATAGCCCCAGAGGTCCTCAGGTGTCCAGCCTAGCTATTCTCCGGAGAGCACACTAAACTGGTCATCGAAGTCACAATCGTCCTATCGTGCAAAACCCCCCGTACTACCCTCGCGCATAGTCCGGTACCTGGTATCTTAAAATAAGTCCCAGGTAGATCCGGACCGTGGGGATCACCCGGTGGTGTCCTTCCCTCTTTACGGGCGGGAGGTTTCCCAGGTGGTTACAAGGAACCCTCCCTAGACAACCGGAGGTGGTGCAATGACCGTGAGGGTTATCATCCCCCACAGGTCCGAAGAAGGACCGGATGCGCTATTGGGCAATCCGGACCCCCTGTATCGTCTGACTAAGTTCTGACAAATCGCTCCTCAGCCTCCCCATGGCTTCCTCCTCGGGCAGCCCCCGGGCCGCTCTGGCACCCTTCGAGCGTAAGATCAGAACATTCCCGCTGCTATGGTGTCGACCCCTGGTCGACGTGGCTCCTCTCCCCACTGACTAAATGCGCCGAAGTGGTGAGTGCCTCGCCGCCGAGCCACAGCCGACTCCACCTCTTCATCGCTGACCATGACAGACAGATGCCTGCCATAGCCCGCCACCCCACCACCGCCGTCGGGCGCGACCATCAAGTCCTCTCCTCGGACGTACCCGATGGACGACCCGGCGGCGCCGAGGAGGCAAGCTATGCAGGACCTAACAGGACTGCCGAATTTCTCAGGCACATGTTACTTCTTCTCTAATACAAAGCATATTTTCATAAATGTTCAAACAATCTACCCAAACAGCCGAAAGAAATCTTTTTACAAATATTTAAACTTATCGGTTAAGATGATAATTTATTCTAATTATATTTGATGAATTTTTCATTCATAATACTATATCATAAATATTTCTAATGAAAAATGCTTAAAAAGGTCAAGGTTCAAGTCCTATCTCAGAGTTCCAGGGATATAGTGGATTTATAATAATGTTAATATTGTAATGGAAAGTGACTTAATAATTTTTTTAATGTATTTATCTGGTAATGGCATCGCTTTCTAAATGTCGTTACTTCTATTAGAACTGGTCAATTTTTTCGCTCATTCTTCATAACAGCCGAAAGACCAGTCCAGGGACTCTATTTTTGCGTTATAATCTCATCTCGATATAATCTCAACTACTTTCATTTTGCCATAGTAGTATCTACCTGAAGTATTGGTAATACTAATATTATTAGTAAAATGTCTTCCTCACAAATCTATGGTATCAGATATATCAAAACTATCTATATTTGAAACGTTCTTAAAATTTTGTCAAAATCATATCTGTGAAGATCATCGAAAAATGCGTTCTTTTGGAAGACATTAGCACTTCGAAAAAAACATAGAAGAAATTTCGTTTTCGGGGAAATAGAATATGCCTTCAGGTGTCATGTTAAAATACGCAAAAGTTACATTGCTTCAACATACTATGAGTCTGTTTGGTTACTGCTATAGTTACCAATTCTGAGGTGGTATTTATTCCAAATTACGATAAAAGTTTAGTATCGACAGTATCTCTAACATACCAAAGGTGCGATAGTAGCTTGTCCGTTTTTGCTAAATGCCCGATCATGAAAATGCATGATGCTTGTTGGGTCATACTCTATATACACTGGAGCGAAATCCTGGTATCGCACTCTAAACAATTGGTGGTATTCTGAAAGTATAGAACTTATTTTACCGTTAAATTTAAAATAATAGCATTATAAGAATTATTACAAAAATTAAATCAAGGTTCCAATATAAATTACTTCTTATAAACCGCAAGACAGGAATTAATTTAAAAGCTTTAGATAAGTTTTTTGGATTTTTTCATTCTTTCATATTAGTTTCTACTTAACATTTTAATATAAACTCTAATTCGGAATTTATATTTTTAATTTTAATTTTATATTTTAAAAGGCTTTAGAAATTGAATAATTTCGTTGACTTCATCCCAATTATAAATATTTAACAACATCACATACATTGCTCAGATTCCAAGATGAGTAGCTAAAGCCCCCGTATTATGGAGTATCTGAGACAACGAAGGTACCACAACACCCAGACCCGAGTCAATATAGAAAAGTTCATTTTCTACATTGACCCGACCGGGAATCGAACCCGGGACCTCAAAGATGGCGACACTAAGCACGAGTGAATAGGTATTTTCTGGGCAAACTCGTCCCATCTAAGGCCTTACGCTTAATATTATTACGCCTGAGGTCAAGAGTGAGCCCATTTCGGATAAAAAAAATCTTGAACACTTTGAACTGCTACAGTAAAAAGTGTATGTGATTCCTTGCGTTTATCTTTATAACTAACGGGAACTAGGTTTTTCATACACGTTCAAGTTTCTAACATCACTTTCGTATAGCTATTAAACCAAGTCCATTTCCGATACATGAAATTGGTCCAAGCCCGGGTGAATTCCTACGAAGCGAAGCGATTCTACTTAACTCGACGCGTCTTATGACTTAGTCTCACTGATCAATGGGGCAGTCATCGACCTGTGTAACTCAGCCATTCGAAGAAAGAAACGAAGTATAGTCGACGCTATACTTCGTTTCTTTATAATTTAGTTAATATAAATTAATTGATACAACTTCCTACTTGGATTAATGTTTTCCCACTGGATTCTGACGTATTGGTCCCGTTGTGGATGCGTCACTTCATCTTTGAAACCGATTGCGTGCATCAAGGTATGCAGGATCTCCCGTTTATGTAAACATTCGTAGCCTAGAACCACAGGCTGAAAATCGTCATGATTAGCTTTATTTTGCGATCTTTTTGGGAAATCTTTATTCAAGTCAATTATCAAGATTCATTATGAGCCAATCACATCAAAATCACCTTTTTTACACTTGTACTCTTACAAACAATAAACAATATTAGATAAAAAATTAGTGGTGGTCACCATGCAGGCCAGGTGCCTATTGATGGATAATAAAGACTTCAAATTCAGCTGAGAAGCCGCTGGGGCTTAACGTGTCTTCCAAACTGACATAACACTTTTATACTTTTTAGTCAATCATCCTTTTACCATTACAATAAATTCTTAACTTCCGCATAACAGATAGAAACAACATCCCGCAAGAGAGTTACTTGAATCTATGTGAAAGTAAATATATTAAAATAAATGCGATTTCCCCTAGCACTAGCGCCCCACGTTGGGCGCCAATATCACAGGTCTTACAAGTAGAATAGATCGTCAATTTGATGGGAAACGATTAGATGCACGATAAAATAAAATACAATAAATATGTGAAATTAAAAAGAAATTAGATTATTGCGTTAATTTTAACTTTTATTGCGTTAATGTTTTAAAAAGTTAGATTATAACTTTTTAAAACAATAACGCAATAAAAGTTTGAATGTGCAGAATATAAACAAAGAGATCAGTGGCAGAGTACTGCCACATCACAATGTTGTTGTTTATTTAATTCTTCATTTAATAAGCATTAAGTTACCTCCTAAACTGCTAAGTGTATACATAGTCTATGATAAGAATTCTAAAAGCAGTGGATTTTGATATTTTTTCTGTATATAACTGAAAATATAAAAATTATACAAAAATTATATTATAAGAAGACTTTATTATCGTCGTCGTCGGCAACAGTCTAGTTGAACTAAAAATCGCAAAATAATAATAATATATATAAAGTGTATGATATATATTTATGCGTGAGTAAAAATCAAAATCAAAAACTGCTGTGACATACTATAGGCATCACTATTTTCTTGTTTTAAATTTTTAGCGCGTGATATAGCTGTAGTCAGCTTTTAGTTTTTCAATTTATTTTAGTATTTAATTAATTTAGCCCTTTCCCTACACGGAATAATTGAAAAATATATGTATATATTTTTTTTTAATTTCTTTTTATTCTTTATTCCCTCTGGAGGGCGCTTTTGCCAATTTAATGTAACGTCACATAGCCTATAGTACGCGGACAACTAAGACGCTTCTAATAATACCTCATTTGTCCTGTTACGATAAGTAGTTTCGGAGGTATAAGGAAACGTATAAACATTCTAACATACATATTTCATACATATCGCCAAAATCATAATCCTCCTTTTCGCTTCGCCGCTTAGTCGGATAAATAGTCTATTAAAACTTATAGACTATTTACCCGACTAATTGATATACACGAATCTGCTAGCAAATGTTATAAAACAATTTGTTTATGGGCATTCTCTAAGTTAAGCTCTTGTTCTGCAGGCCAATGTTTACATGATAATCGCATCTTAATATAATCTCACCGACTTACATTTTGCTACTGTCCTACCTAACTTAAGTATTGAGATGACTGTATGACCTCTGACACGCGCCTAGGATCTACGACAAGAGTGAGGGCCCGACGCTGCATTCAGCGGTGCTATGACATTTTTGTTCTACAGCGGCTACAGTTGTATAGGATGGACTACTATGGATCGCTAATATTATTTGGTAAGAAAACGTTACGAAATTAAACTGATTTCGAAAACAAGTCCCAAGTACTCACTGCACGTGTGTAAACCTATCGGACGCGTCCGCGCTATAATGCGCTGCACATACTATGGGCACCCGTCGCATACGCACGCTTCACTTAGCTACCCTATATTACTGCCCTATATTAATAATTTCATACTTACAATCTCCAAATCTGTTTTGTTCTCTCTCAAATGCACACAGTCCCTTATTTTAGATGGGTTACTAATGTGTAACCAAGGAGCGAAGTGGCTCGGTCCATTTATTGCTTTAAACTTGAGACAAGATGAATCTTCCAGATTATTCATGGCCATGCGCACTCGTTGAGCAACAAGGACATCTGAACATTAGATTTTTGTTAATATAAGTATTTTTTTTTTTAGAAAATATGCACTTTAGTCAAACATCATTCGCTTAAACTAGTAGCTTGTGATTCGAATTTCTTTCAGCTGTTTCTCAACATAATTTATAAATTAACTTCTGGGCTTCTGGTTCTATATTTATGACAATTTTAAAATGCTGTTCAGATTTTTTTAACTCGTTGAGTCTAAGTGGTCGCTTGCATGCACTTTTCCTGTATAATACCAGTTCAGTGCAAGATCTTTCTTGTCCATATGTCATCAAACAAAATAAGCGCACTTTTGCCGTTAATTTTCAAAGACGCCCGTATAAAGAAGAAGACGAAGATCATATGTCAGCACCGCTATGCCGACATATAACCGGACAAGCTATCTCTATGACTTTTTATATTAGAAATTGAGTTTGCAATAGCAATCAGATAGTATCTGGTCATCACCTTTGCATTTTGTTGCCAAAAAAAATGGCTGGCGTCTCTATGACAACTACCTCGTGTTAAACGCACGCAATGCTCAGTTTGTAAAATCTTCTCTACCGTGGACTTGGTACGAGTATATAACCATAGTAATGACGATATTCCGAAGACGCCAATCACCACACCCTTCGGCCTCTACGAATTTCCTTATATGACAAACCTTTCAGAGATTCTTAGATGAGCTAACAAGAGATATAGATTACGTTTACCCTTACCTGGAGGATTTTTTAATTTATACCCTTACACATGAAGCGCATCTGCGCCAACTCTTCAAACAAAATTCCGAATACGGCATTTTTATTAACACCACAAAATGCGTTTTCGGTGCATCAGAAGTGACATTTTTATGTTACCGAATATCTTGAAACGGTGTTAAGCCACTCAAAGAGAGAGTTCTACTATTAAGGATTTCCCAAGGCCCACAAATGTTAAACAGCTTAGAAGGTTCCACGGAATTATTAACTTATATCGCAGATTCATTCTACGTGCAGCTGATATACAGGCCCCTGCTATGCTTTGTTGACTGACTCAGTTAAAGGTAAGCATCCTATCGAGTATAAAGGAAATTCGCTAAAAGCTTTAGAGGATACTAAAACGAGCCTCTAGGTTTTTACTCATGCAAGTTTAGTCCTTCCCAACTTTTTACAAAAATATATTTTGTACCTACAAACATTTTTGTAAAGGTCCTTGTTTTTAGTATACTATTTAAATATACTCCCCCACTATAAAGTTGAGAGTACTGGACCAATTTTAAAAGTTTATTCAACTCCGGGAAATTTTATTATACGCGGGTAACTTCGCTATAATTTAGCCGGGCGAAGCGAGTGTTTACAACTTGACACAAAAAATAAATCAATTTCATTAATATCTAATAATAAAATGGCGTTATCTAATTAATATAGGGAAAACTCCCGTTTTACTCTATTGAAAATGTATATACCATAATCATTGGTGTTCAAATAATATGGCACGATCCCATGAGGCCATTGTGCACCCAGTAAATTATCTTCAGCGAAATACTTCAGTGACTGTTTTTCATCCGCTTCTGTATAAAACCATTTGGATATTTATTAGATACAATCGGCATTAGTAAATACAATCTAAAAAATTAAACAACAATAATGTTTATATGTTTCACAATAAAACACTTTATTACACAAGCAATGGCACAATCAAAACTTATAATCTAAGAGGCAATGATAAATATATATGTGCAACAGCTTCCTAAAGCTTAATATTTCAGCATGTTGGAGCAATAAGGGTCAGGCGCTGGAACACCAACAGTGCTATTAATAAACAAGGTTTAGCGTTGGAGTAAATTGATACTGAGACTGCACTTACTATTAGTTAAAAATCATATTATTAAACAGAGACTTAACAAAGGTGAACCGGTAGTACGGGAGGTTCTATGGGAATAATGTTTACTCCTAGACGATAATAGTAATTCTCTGTGTAATATGAATTTAGACTAATACTAAAATTGCAATTTTAGCCTAAATTTTCTCTGACGCTAAACCTTGTTTATTAATAGCACTACAAGGGTGAGAACGCCTAACTCTCTCGTCATAGTTACAAATAGTGTAACATCTATTAGATCTCGTATCATATGGCTAGAATCATGACTATTCAATGTATATAATGGGAAGATACATTACAACTATAAGAGTTTCATAAAAGCTAAAAATTTGTGAGAAATTTGGTCTTAATATAAAAAAATGTATTGCTCAGACCGCACAGTTGTGGAAGACGTCGGCTCAACACGTCTCAGAAGATGTCGCGAATAACAGCTCCGAAAAATAATTTTAAAATGGCTGGAATTTAATTAATGTTTAATTAATTAATTTAAATTAAATTATACAAACCTTGTACCGAGGTTACATCTTCGGTATTATTTGAATTTGCATTACAGAGTGACGATATTACTATTATTATACAAAAAATATATTTTTCTTGCAATAATATTTCCATTTCAGTAAGGTAACGAAACTAAATTTTGATATTGATAAGCCCATATATTTCACAAGAGAGTTTTATCGTTGAATAAATATGATTTCACAATTACGCTATAATAATAAAAAAAACGATATTTTAAACCATTACCCGAAAATAAATATTATTAAAATCTTTCGACCTTCCTTTCACAAAGGAGGTACCAACCAACTGATACTCATTTTGAAAACTATAAATAATGTTATAAACAGGTTAAATTTTACTAACATAGTTTTTTGTATGGGGTAATCTTCGGAAATATAAATAAGGATTTATATTTATGTAGGTAAAATAAATGTTATTTCATAAAAAAATATTTCTCTTACGGGATACTACATCAAGTGCTATAATTTAATAACTTTTTTTAAGCAGGAGTCGCTAAACAAAATTAACGGACATATATATATAAATCGCCGAAGCCTCTGGCGTCCACTGTAGGTACATATGTGTTATGAGTATAATTGTTTTTAATGCATATGTGTGAAGATTTAATCAGTATAATGTTACTAGTCAAATGGAATTCCAATTAAATAATAGATGTTGATATTCTATTTAAGAAATTTTCTGCTAGTTTATCGCATACGTTCACTGCTAACACTAGCACACTGAATATTTTCGTATACCTTCTATACACCGCATGGATGCTCTTACATTCATCAAATCTTATTTTTAAGTAAATTCTGTATAATACCAGGCATATACTCGTATATATACCAAATATTACGCTAGTCAAATTGCATCTTATCCATCCTGCAATTCAAGCGGCTTCCAGCTATACCAGTGCTAAGTTGTCTCCGAAGTAGTACATATTATTTTAATAAATAAATAAATATTAAAATAAATATTTAACAACATCACATACATTGCTCAGATTCCAAGATGAGTAGCTAAAGCCCCCGTATTATGGAGTATCTGAGACAACGAAGGTACCACAACACCCAGACCCAAGTCAATATAGAAAAGTTCATTTTCTACATTGACCCGACCGGGAATCGAACCCGGGACCTCAGAGATGGCGACACCTTGAAACCGGCGTGCGACCCACTCGGCTACGGAGGTCGTCAATATTTTTTAACTCTCGTTTTTATTCTCAGATGTAGCTCGAAATACAGATGTTAAAATTATATACGCTCATACCTCAGAATTCACATTAAGTCGAGTTAGTGAAGGTCGCCATGAAGAACTATGATAAAATTAGAAAGTCCCCTCTAATTCCCTGATGACTAGTTTAGTAAGTAGGTACGGATATCTGTGAAGTGTCCGTTTTAGTTGAAAGGTGGTAATACTTCAGAGGAAAATTATCTGTCTTGAGTATTAACTGTGTAAAGCTACTAATTCAACTACATCTTTCCACTAGAAATTTTTCCATTCACAGTTTTTTTATCATTGGGGCTGTCTCGTTTTTGTAGCGCATCGGGCATGTTTGCTGCAGCGAACACCGACTGCTTTCACGCAAGTATGCGCAAAAGAGGAGCCTCCATGGTGAGCAGGGTTCAGGCCAGCTCCAATGCCGTCCTGGCTGTGATTGCTAGTAGGCTGGACTGTCCCTACATCCGACATTGCTGTGAAAGACACGCCCCACGATGTCGGAGGGAGAGACTATTTTAATGACGATATTAGTGACGAGTAATTTAATTTAATTTTTAGTGATTTCAATTTAATTAATTTATTAATAATTGATTATGAATTTAATTGAACTGTATTGTATTTTTTATGTATATTTTTAATTATCTAATTCAAATGTATCACAATATGGGTTATTATCACCTGTAATAAAGATTATTATTATTATTATTATAAATAACACATCTAATAGTGTGGTGACTAGAGTAATGCAAAAAATACTAATAATATAGGAATTTTAAATTGCAAATAATTATTATTATAATCAAAGAAACAGGTAAGTTAGTATTAATAAGTTCGAGTGCAAAAGTTCAGTAAATAAGTAAGTTAAGTAACATAGAGGTATGGATGAGAATTGGTGTAAAATTGAAAACAGGTAAGTTTAAATAAGCGGATAAGTTATTGTAAACAGGTAAGTACTAAATGTACGGATGAGTTAATCAATAAATAGGTAAGTTAAAAAATATCTACGAATTATTTATAGTTAACTTGTCATAAATAAGTAAGTTTAATAAAACAGGTAATTGGAATAAAAATAATAGATAATTAAGAAGCTTGTAATTAAAAAAACTACATTGTTAAAATACTTTCAATTAATCGATTTAACTACTATTTATTAGTAACATAATTTATCCAAAACAAAACAAGGGGCTTCATTCTGACGTGACAACATAAATTTAAAATTAAATTTAACATTAGTCCTTGTTTATTCGGCTGATGTTAAATTTAATTTTAAATTTAAGTTGTCACATCAGAATCAAGCCCAATAACGATATCAAAATATAATCAGTAATCATTAACGTTAATTCAGCCTTCGAATTATTTATTTATGTTTATTGTAGAAAATAAAAAACACTAAACATATATTCTTAAAACAATATTATAGCAATTACCAGCCCAGAAGCGTCACTCATGTTTTAATTGGATTGCATCGGAAAAATCATTGCTTTTTTTAAAACATATAACACAATACTTATGTGATGCCCACTATTGAAGACAAACAAAATAGTTTTATATCTTATGTTTCATATAAATCCCTTTAAAAAATTATAATAAACATGAGGACAGAGCACTCAAACACCCAGTTTCTGAATTGAGAATTCGAAGTTGAGCACGTCTCAAACGTCATTTAAACAGGTTTTCATTACTGATTTATAATTTTTTAATGATCATTTGATAGCAATTTGGTAAAACTACGACTTTTTGCCATATGAAACGTAAAAAAATTTACTTATTGAGAATAATAAATTGAGATTTTGTGCTTTTCTCTTTATCAGAAACTGACCGTAAATCATTATCATCAATCCAGTCTCTATGCTAATCATTGGTATGTAGTGAAGAACATATTACTTAAAATATATCATTTTATTATAAAACGAGGACTAAAGTTATTACTTGGGTACGCATTTTGCACAAAAACTTTGATTTTAAGCCCGTCTTTATTTTCCAGTAGTTCTTCGTGTTTTTCTTTTAGTTGTTCACATTTATGTCTTTTGGGTGGTTTATGACTTTTTATGTGTAATTTGAAGAATTTTCTTACCGCATTTTTTTATTCTGTTGTCCATGGTATCAGAGTTCTTTTTCTGTTTTTGTTAATGCGATTGTTGGTAATTAATAGTGATATCTGTTCGTTGAGACATTGCTGTGATTTTTTTAGAAAACCGGTCCATTTTGAGATAAATTATTTTGATTATGTTTTTGTTGAACGCATTCAGAATTGACAACTTCCGCGGGCTCACAATTATAATCCAATAATTGATCATTATCAAGAACCTCTTCATGTAATTACTTATCCATATCCAAATCAATCTCCTAAAGCCACTTTCCTTTCTAAGCGTCTGCTTTACCGTCTTCCATAAGAGTAAGAAGTTTCGATATCTTTGCAGTTTGGTATACGTCATCCAGCAATCTATAAGATTTTTTATGTACTTCGAGGGTATGACCTATAAATGGGGTAACTGCTCCATATCATTTTCAGACATACTAAATATTTGTAATAAGGTAGCCAAGTGTTTTCTGAGCCTTGTAGTTGAGATTGCTTTTAGATTTTTGTTCCGGATAAAGGACATCGCCGAAAATGGCCCCAATACCATTAAATATTAATACTTCAATAATAATTACTAATTTATTTATTAAATTGGAATCAAATATTTATTTGACACGGCCAAGCTGCGATCCAAAATTAATATTTAAAAGTACTTTAACAGTAACATTTTTATTCGCAAATATTCACATTCAATATACTTAAATTCTATTGAGTCAGGTGGATGTAATTTACATGTCAGATCAAGAAGATAATTTATTTTTATTAGATAACCTTTAAATCATCGAACACAAAAACATTAAATTAAATTGACCGAAAATAAACTTAAATTTACTAAAAGCGCCATCTCTTGGTGATTTTCCAACTAAAACATAAGGACATAAAAACTGATTATTATACAAACTAAATTCATTAACTGTTGATAATTCACTCTTGTTTATTCAGAAAGATTGATATTCATACGACATATCCTAAAAACTACTTTGTTTCTATTACATTACCTTTATATTTCTCGTAAACATATTAACATCATGTCATTTATGTATTTAAGGCGCCATCTTTTGATGTAAACCATCAAAATGTTCATCGTTGGTTATGCCCTTAAATCAGCTTTTGAGTTTTTTCTCTTGGATTTATTAGTAGATATTCAAACACACACGTTAGAAGTATCATTTATTACGCAGCAGATCTAAGAACAACTTTTTAACATAATTTGACCACAGACCAACTGAGAATATATTCTATGTCACAGACCAGGTGACATTATCTTTAGCATGACACAAAAAGCTATAGGTTTTTTAATTTTAAGCTTATCAATAGGTATATTATTTAACTATTAGAATGATTTATTTGTCTATTGATTGACTTAAACACTTTTACAAATCACAACGAAACACCGACTTTCTTAAAGTTGAGTTTTTTTGCTTCGACAATATAGACATCATATCATGTACTTAGAGTGCCATCTCTTGGTGGTTTTCCAAACAAATTATAACCTCAAAATGAATTATATTTTGCGTGATAATAAGTTCTAAAACTCGGTCGCGGTATAATAAATACATAATGAGAATTAGTTCGTGACACACAATAAAATAAGTATGTTCCTATATTTTTTTGGCTCTGAGGCCACCAATGTATGGACGTTGAGCAATGTCCTTTACACTCTCATAACCTGGATTATCAAACAAAAAATTATTTGGGGTAGTAGTAAAAAAAAATACTTCTGATAGACAATAGTAGTTTTATGTCACTTTGAACTTCTTAGTTAAACAATACAGATACTCCTCAACCACGTTTGCCCCTAATAACAACTCTCTTTACCAGAATTCGTTCAGTGGCAGTAAGTGCACGATCAAATTCTTTGTGTCTTATCTGACCCATTATTTTCACTTTCTAAATAGTCATGCAAAGTAATTCTTTGAAGTTCTCCAGGTCTGCGCCTGTTCAATAATAAAACCCTACTAGAAGTATATACACAGTTTCTAGTAATTCTATATATGTAGCAATATTTTGTTTCCCTTCTTTTATTTTTGTAGCAGCCTCCAAAAATTTTATATTTAGGTGTTCTTTTAGAATTTTTAAATCCTTTGCTAAATGTACAAAAAGTTTCTTTGCTCCATTTTTTTTTTGTTTAAATCTGTCGTAGCTTGACTAGATATATCATATTTCCAATTTGATTCTAAGAGTTGTATAGTAGTTTTAAGTCTGTTTCACTTTTATAGTTTCAATATCCATAAGATCCTTGTTTTTTAAAAGCAAACATTATTGCTATTTTAAGAACCGTTAGAGGTTGAAGGTGTGGTTCCTACTGTGGTGATGGAGACAACTGGCCAGGGAGACTAAAGGATAATTGTCTCCCTCCGAGCTAGGTGTTGTTAGCTCAGGGACCGCGGTCCAACCGGTGTAGGTTGGACGTTCTATTTATCTTAATTGGTAATGAATCTTATTCTGTGCGAGGTAGGTTTCTTTGTTCTAAATGTCTTCTAATTATTAATTTATGCTGTTTATATTGGTACAGCGCCATCTCGTTAATTGCTGTTGAAACTTATTGCAGTTCATCTTGCTATCGATGGCTGTGACGATGCTAGTCTTCTGGCTATCGATTGTTGTGGCGATGTTAGTGCGATGAGTTAGATGTTGCTATGTATCAGTTGCCACACTATATAACAACACTGTTTTAAGGTGATCGACATATTCATTGCGAACGTAGGCGTCTCAAATCTGTCCTTTTTGAATAAAATCCTAGACAGTCTGAACATGGTAGATAATCAGTAATTTTTGTTTTCGCATAGGCTTAGTAACATCTTGTGAATTTATAAGGTAGTTTCCTTTTTACATAGCGCTGTTATAAATTGTTTTCTTTCCAGGCTTTTTTTAGGTTTTGATATAATTTTTTCACTTCAGTTTCATATATATGATGTCAAATCAAATGACGAGCAAAATTTAAAACGAGAGTCTCGCAATAAAAGCAGTTATCTTTATTTCGAACATTACTTGTACTTTTGGGCTTTTGCCTCTTGATTATGGTTATATCATTCGAATTATCTTGAAGATGAAAGCAGATACTGAATCAGATATTTCCGTGTGTTGAGGGCAATGAGACTTATCTCTAAGCTTCACACTCACTCACACACACACACACACTTTCATAAGCATTGCATCGTAGTGAACCCATACAATTGAATGGGTTCTATGCGGTTGCATGGGGGGTTCCCCAACAAAAAAAAGAAACCTCTTAAAAGTAAAAATTAACTAGTATTTATATGTTGACCCTTTTCACTTTATTAAAGTTCAAGCGTCGTCATCGCGTCAAGGGATCACAAAAGAAGTATACACATTTGACTTTTCAACGTTTCTTTCATTTGTCGGGATTTTTAAAATTTTAAATTTTTCTTCTAAGCTTTTTAAATTACTACTAAAACGCTACGAACAACCCTTTACCTCAACACGAAATCTGCTAGAAATTGATGAGGAGTTGGGTATCCTGTAGATTACGGTATGCTATAGCAGGTTTATGTCTTGGAAATATCAACAAAGTAACAAACAACACACAAAATTTTAATGTTCACGCAATCCAAACAGCCAAAAGAAATCTTTTTTCAAATTAAATATTTGTAAAAATTTCGATAAAGATGAAAATTTGTTCGAATTATTATGTTCGATCAATTTTGCATTCACAGCGCTATAGGTACTGAAAAATTGATGAAAATACGCTTTGTATTATTGACCTATAATTTGTTGGTGGTAGTATACTGATTTTTGAAAGCAATTACGTCATCATAATGGCAGCCAAGCGTACATCTTAGGCGATTTCACATAAATTCCAATGAGTTTTACCAGTTTTACTGTACATCGTCTTTATAGGTAATTTCTATACATAATTATACTAAAATTAAATATAACAATTATAGTAACAAATATAATATTAATTATATTAATCAATAAAATTACAATATTCGGTAAATTTGAACGCGGTCTTACAATAATATTTTGATTGAAATAGAAAACGAAAACACAATAATCGAATTTAAACCAATGAGAAACATCCACGGCTTGTCACACTTTGACAGCTTCATAATGTTCATTCCGTTATACGTATAAAATACGATAATTTAACAAATTTTTATTTGGTTGATACAAGATGAATGTGTTTAATATGCTGTTTTCATAATATAAAGTAATACTGATGTGAACTCCTTGAGTTTATAATCATACTCTTTGCTAAAAGTTCTATACTTTATATTTCAATGATGACATATGTTATAAATTGATATTGTCATACTCTCTTATGTTAAATAATTTGCTCTGTTTTAAAGCATAATAAAACCAAGTATCTAAATTGGTATTGTCTTTTCTTGTATCAATTTATTATGCTTTAAAGTGTTTTTCGAATTCAAAATGTCTGAGGACAAAGTTCTTCCGCCTTCTGGTTTGTCACGCTACCTACGTCCGGAACGCTTCGATACAGTTCCTTCAACTGACGGTTCCGATTTGAAATGGGCGCATTGGCGGTACTCATTTGAAAATTTTCTTAAAGAAGAAGCTTCACCCGTCTCTGAAGAGGTAAAGTTAAAAGTACTTATTAATCACGTGTCGTCGACTATATTCAATATAATACGAGAATGCACGAAGTACAGTGATGCTATCACGTTGCTTAATGATACGTTCGAAAGGCGAAAAAACATTACACTAGCTCGACATCTACTTGCCTCTAGAAAACAACAAGCAAGTGAATCTATTGCTGAGTATTGTCGAACTCTGACATCCCTTGCATACGATTGTCACTACAAAGCTGTAACAGCGGAGGAACATCAGAACGAATCAATACGTGGTGCATTTATTGCGGGATTATCATCCCAAAGAATCCGCGAACGTTTACTTGAAAAATCTGAGTTGTCACTGCCACAGACACTGAATCTCGCTATCTCACTAGAGACTGCCGAAAACACGTCCTTAGTTCTACAATCTAACACTGCACCGTCTCTAAACGTTATGACGAACACTACGCCGAATTTAACGGCTACAACCTCACGCTCTGGCACATCTTCAAGAAGGAAATGCTTTTTCTGTGGTGGGACCGTGCACCAAAGAATAAAATGCCCTGCATATAATGCACAGTGTCAGTTTTGTCAAAAAAAAGGACATTTTGCGAATGTCTGTCGAAGCGCTGATAAAAAACAACCGATCGTTAACGTTGTAACCACAGAAGATACACCAGAAGCTTCTCCGTCTAGCTTACTACTCTCCATATGCGCTGCTGCTCCTTCTAGCTTACGTAAGGCAACAATTTCCATCACTATCAATAATCACAAAGCTGACGCCCTAGTTGATACCGGAAGCTCCATTAGTTTTATTGACAATAGCCTAGTAGAGCTAATGAAACTTAAAAGAAAATATTGCAATCAAGCTGTAACCCTAGCTTCACTACATAATGTATCACACGTCAATGGTCTATGTCACGTTACTATCCAGATTGGAGATAACGTTTATAAACAACAGCCATTGTTTATCATAAATAGCTTATGTGCTGACGTGATCATAGGACATGATATCCTAAGGACACATTCTTCTCTTGAATTACAGTTCGGTGGTGAAAAGGATCCATTGAAAATCTGCAACGTCCTGGAAGCTTCTGTGCCGCCTGTATCAGTGTTTACTAACCTTTCGCCATCCATCAAACCTATCGCCATCCGATCTAGACGTCACTCTGAAGAAGATCAAACATTCATATCAAATGAAATCGCTAATCTCCTAAAAGACAAAGTTATAGAACCTAGCGTCTCCCCATGGAGAGCGCAAGTCCTGGTTGCAGGAGGTGGACATCACCGAAAACGTCTAGTAATAGACTATTCACAGACTATAAATAGATTTACGGATCTAGATGCATACCCTCTTCCGAGTATTGAATTTATAGTAGCTTCCGTATCTAGGTATAATGTATTTAGTCAGATAGATCTTAAAAGTGCATATCATCAGGTACCTATCCTTCCGAAGGAGAAAATCTACACCGCATTTGAAGCCTGTGGTAATCTTTACCAGTTCACACGGATTCCGTTTGGTGTTACCAATGGTGTCGCTGCTTTTCAAAGAACTCTTCACTATATCATTCGTACGGAAAAACTAAAAGGTACATATGCTTACTTAGATGATGTTACTGTCTGCGGAAAAGACAAGCGAGAACACGACATCAATCTGAAAAGGTTCATGGAAGCTGCAAAGAAATACAATCTTACCTTAAATAAGAACAAATGCGTGTTTGAATCTGATTCTATCAATCTACTTGGCTATTATATTCATAACAATACGATACAACCTGACAAAACACGCCTCGAACCGCTTTTGAGTCTTCCTATTCCGTCCGATACAGCCACACTTAAGAGAACTCTTGGCCTATTCGCCCATTATTCAAAATGGATTCATAATTTCTCAGCAAAAATAAAACCATTGGTCGATTCCTCATTTCCTTTAACTGAAGAAGCAATAGAATGCTTCACAAAACTTAAAGCTGATATTGCACAATCATCTCTGGCTTCTATCGATTCAAAAGAAACGTTCACTGTTGAGACTGATGCATCAGAATTTGCCATAGCAGCCACACTTTCACAGAAAGGCCGCCCGGTGGCATTTTTCACACGTTCTCTAAATAATTCAGAACGACGCCAACCTTCCATAGAAAAAGAAGCGAGTGCAATTGTGGAAGCCCTTCGCAAATGGCGTCATTATTTAATTGGCCGTTACTTTATTCTTATCACTGATCAACAGTCTGTATCTTTCATGTTAAATCAAACACATTCAAGCAAGATAAAAAATGAAAAGATAGAACGATGGCGTCTGGAACTATCTTGTTTTAAATATGACATAATTTATCGCCCTGGCAAACAAAATGTAGCTGCAGACGCGTTATCCCGTGTCTGTTCCCTTATAAATAGTTCTTCTAAACAACTCGCTGACCTTCACAGCTCTCTATGCCACCCAGGTGTGACAAGAATGATTCATTTTGTTCGTTCTAAAAATCTTCCTTATTCTGTTGAAGAAGTCAAAAGAATCACCTCTGCTTGTCGTGTTTGCGCCGAAATAAAACCTAGATATGTAAAGAATGAAGGTAAACTAATTAAAGCAACGACTGCATTTGAACGATTGAATTTGGATTTTAAAGGGCCTTTACCATCCAACACCTGCAATAAGTATATTCTAACCATAATTGATGAATATAGCAGATTTCCATTCGCATTCCCTTGTAAAGACATGTCATCAGCGACTATAATTAAGTGCCTGAAAGAACTTTTTTGCCTGTTCGGTACTCCTGCTTATGTTCACTCCGATAGAGGAACATCATTCCTGTCAGAAGAATTAAAGCTATTCCTGACTAGTCTTGGTGTTTCATGTAGCCGTACTTCCCCATATAATCCACAAGGCAACGGTTTGGTAGAACGCCTTAATGGAACACTATGGAAGACAATCCAGCTTCATCTCCGCTCTCAGAACTTAGATAGTGCCTGTTGGGAAAAATCATTGCCAATTGCACTACATTCTATAAGGTCATTACTATCTACAGGGATAAACACAACCCCTCACGAACGGATGTTTAATCATCCTCGGCGCTCATGCACTGGTTCTTCCATGCCAACCTGGTTAATGTCACCAGGGCCGGTATTTATGAAAAAGAACGCTAGAAATTCTAAATATGATTCAGCCGTCGAGGAAGTAGAGTTACTTCAGAGCAATCCGGCCTACTCCTTTGTGAGGTTGCCTGATGGACGTGAGACAACAGTTTCAAATAGATCGCTGGCCCCAATACCGCACAACGATGACGTATTTTTGGATACTGAAGACCCAGAGGAAGTTCCTGATCAAGAGTCTTTCACAGAAAATGAACAATCTATAGATTTGCATCCTGAGGCACTTGTATCATCTCCTGAAGACTCTCAGCTACGTCGTTCTTCTCGGGAGCGAAGGCCTCCGCCGTATCTGCAGGATTATGCTTCGACTGTGGTTAAAAAAAAATGCACAGGGTGAATGATGTGAACTCCTTGAGTTTATAATCATACTCTTTGCTAAAAGTTCTATACTTTATATTTCAATGATGACATATGTTATAAATTGATATTGTCATACTCTCTTATGTTAAATAATTTGCTCTGTTTTAAAGCATAATAAAACCAAGTATCTAAATTGGTATTGTCTTTTCTTGTATCAAATACTGAAACGAAAAACGATTTATTTAAATACTAATATATGTAAAAGTATGATTTTTGGTTCAATTTTTCGTTTATTGGAAAATAGAAAACTAATCAAATCCAACCATTATTATGTCATTTTATGTTGTGTTTATATTCTCTTTGGTCATTCCATTCAGTTCAGTCAGTCAATAAAATTGTCGGCTGTGTACAGCGATAAATTGTTTTTATTACATACTTGAAAAAGTTTATATAATATATATATATATATTGAATATAATACAAAAATTTATAAAAAAAGCAGTGATTCTAACAATGCAATTATTCTTATTTTTGTGTATTACTTTAATTGTTCCTTCTACATACCAAGCGGCTGCATCCCAAGGTTCGGTTGAATTAGATGAATATTCTTTTGATAAAATTACTGGAAAATTTGAAGCATCTCTTATAAAGTTTGACGTCGCCTTCCCGTATGGTGACAAACACGATGCTTTTGTGGCATTGGCAAAGGACGCAAAAGATGTGGAAGAACTTTTGGTCGCCGAAGTCGGAGTAAAAGATTACGGTGAAAAAGATAATGAAGAATTGGCGAAGAAGTACGGCGCCACGAAAGATAACTTCCCTGTAGTGAAACTATTTGTAAAAGGCAAAAAAGAACCGATAGCATTTGATGATTCAAAAGGTTTTACCAGTGACGAATTACGACGTTTTGTAAAAGAGAATACCGGCTTGTATCTCAGTCTTCCAGGATGCGTAAAAGACTTAGACAAGCTGGCTATTAAATTTACAAAATCCAAACTGGACGAAAGAAAAAAACTTTTAACAAAAACACAAGAAACTTTGGTAAAATTGGGAAATAAGGTAAAATCATAAGTCTCATTATACCTAAATACTGTTATCAGTTCCTGTAGTAATTTTTTTTATATAGAGTTTATTTATCTGAACTGAGTGGCTGTATTAAATCTCAAACCATATTTTCTTATACAAATTGAAATTACCTAAAGTTATCATGTTTTTTTTTTCAGGATGCTCTGTCTGGAAAAATATACAAAACCATTATGGAGAAAATTCTAGAAAAAGGTGATGATTTCATTAAATCTGAAAATGATAGAGTGAAAAAATTACTAAGTGGAAAAGTTTCAGAGGAGAAGAAAAAAGAACTAGGCATTAGACTGAATATTCTACAGTCATTCCAGCTTTTTGACAAAAATGGTAAACAAAAGGAAGAACTGTGATCAGATATTAGTAGATAGTCATAGAGTGAATTTGAGTGTTATTAATTTATGTTCAAAACGCATTACTATGTAATAAGATGTAGTTATTATTTTATTTTTATCGAGTTGCTGTGACAATATTGAAAACTCCAAACATATCAATAAATTAGACTATAATTATATGTATATACATATATTTTCTTTTTCAATTGAAGCATTAATTCACAGTTAGGAGGAGTGACCAATTATAATACATTTATGTATAATAATAGATATTGTAAATTACCTACAATTTTTATACATTCCACTCAATGTCACAACAATTATAGTAATTCCTATTTACACAAGTGTGTATTATATTTTTTACAATGATATGGGTTGAATTGCACAAGTGTAATTTATTTTGAAGTGTACAAATAAATATTGTTATGATACATGAAAAATAATTATTCTAATTTCCTTTCTTTTGAACAAACAGTTGATATTTGAACCCAGTGAGTTGGTATAAAGATAAAAATATCCATATACAGTGGAAAGGGTAAAATGCTTAAGTCAAAATGGTTCTTTTGCAATAAAATTACTAACTTTCAGGAGACCTCTTTATTTATCATCATCATTATGAAAAAACCATCAGTTAATCAAATGGTTTGCCACATTTTTGGATATAAACCACAATTTGTTAATAAACAGGAATGTAAAATTATAATCATACATGTTTTTTTTTATTAAATATATATAGTTCCAATCAAATCAAGTTCATCTTACTTAAAGGATATAATGATAATCAATTTGAGTAACTCGTATATTTTACTGAAATTTGTTAAAAAATAAAATAAACACATGCCATGTCAAGATGTGGAATAAAAATGAAAGTGGAATTAACATTTATATTTCCAAGGTGTTATTTAATTATCTGAGATAGGGAGAATGGGCCACTGCCCATTCATAGGCAAGGCCATCGCCCCACCAGTGAGGATGTTATTAGGCTGATAGTTATTAAGAAATTGTATAAAATGCATATTAAACAAAAATGCTTACAATATTGACATTGTTTATCACCACGGAACGCCAAGAAGCAATGCATATGGTGCAGCTAGACTTCTTCAGGTTGTCAGGGCACACATTGTGTAAGGGAGGGGATGTCGCTAAGTTGATATCAAAAGGCATCATTGTGCATTGAATAAAAATATATAATTTTTGGCACATACATTCCTTGTGAAGTATAACTGTAATAAAGTACAGATGTACTATAAGTCATTATAGTTATCAATGTATTTCGTGTATCGTAACCAAAAAATAGTTATAATCAAAGATAGCAACTTAAAGTTTTATTGCTTACATTGTAGATGGAATAGATTATGGCATGGAAAATCCTTTTTTATATCTATAACACAAGAAAACCAAAGTAAATATAATTTACACTTTGCAAACTTTTTGAGCTAGTAAAATATATATAGATTTCCTATGTTTTGCTGATAATGTACAATATTATGCTAACACACACACTGATTTCATATCCTCAAACTTAGAGCTCTTGTAAAAAAATATAACCAAGTGAACTATTCAAATAAAAATACTTAAAAAAAAATCATCATGTTGAAACATATAAAGAATGGAATATCATTAATATCTATATATATAACTGAAATATTAATGGAATTTAAACCAAGTCCAGAATAAGATGTTACACATTGGCCCTTATACAGATCATGCAATATTGTTAACATAATGTTAATTTGCCTTTTCACATTCCACTGTAAGTTCTTTCAATTTTAAAACTACACCCTCTGAATCAGCACCTTCAGACTTGTCTGTGGTTTTTGGTTCAGGGGTATCTGTGTCTTCACTTCGTGTAATGCTACTTTCATCATCGTCTGAAGACTGATCTTGGGTATATAAACTACATTTTGTCCTTACAATTTCTTGAGCTTCTGCAAATTTCTTTTTCCACATTTCTGCATCTGCAATAAATGTTAACTAAATGAGTCTTACAACATATATAACTTACCTACAGATTTATTTACTGTAAAAATAAAAAACCAATTTTTTTCACTTCTTTATGTTACTTACTCTGCGCATTTCCAAATTTGATAGCGAGTAGTTCCTGTTTACATTTCTCATCAGCGTAATCGGCAAAAACAGACCAGTTGAAAGCTTTATCAGAGCCACAATGGACATTCATTCTTATATCAGGGGTTATAAAATGATTTGCACATACTTTGAGGGTCTTGTCACGTCTCATAACAACACGAACTGTATTATTCTCTTTATGGCGTAATAGTTTAATGTCACCTGTTCCACGCTCCTGAAATATATAAAGTAGTTTTTGCAGTGGCTTAAGCAGTAAATTAGTATAAAAGTATGTTATAGAAAAGGAAGCAAAAAATCCCTTTTTACAACTTTTGTATATTTTTTACAATCTGGTCAAGTTTTTCTAATCTACACAAACCTTCCACTCGTGGTCCGCGGTATCATATCTATAAAGCCGGGCACGAATTTTCACCAGTTCTTCCTCATCTTCTTCATTCGTATTTACATCAACCAATGGTAAAGATACTATTGGCTCATAATGAGGGTCGTGTTCAGGGGTATCTGCTTCACCAGCTTCGCTTTCGCTATTACGTCTCACGCTTTCTTCAGCCTATAAGAATAATGTACAGTAACGATTATTTGATTACAATACTACAAAGTGCAACAACAGCCGAATCAAAAATACAGATAAAGATTAAATTCTATCCATATTCTTACCAGGGATGACATTTTTAAGATTATATTAACAAATTTCTTTTAAAAAGAAACACGATTTACAAATTGAATATAAACAAAATCGTCAAGTTCGTTGTTGATTGAATGAGTAAAGTGTGAGAGAAGAGCGAAATACAGTTAGGGCTGTTTGAATAAAATTGATTGTGGAAGTTATCGATTAATTATTAAGCTACCTTCGCCTTACCGATTTTGTCTCCTCTCACTCAGGCATAGATTTATTATCCATACGATATCTCACTCTTGACCCGACAAACTGACAAGTGAGTGTAGACAAAGCGTTTCTTGAGTTTGTCATGCTACCCGTACTGGAGAGTACTATTTGTCTTTAATATGATGTAAAAAAAATTATATGTCTGGGTCAAATAGTTTCGGAGATATTAAATTACAAAGTTTTTGGAAAAAAAAGTGTTTTCAACCCTGAGTCAGCTGTTAAGGAACAAGTTTTTAATCAGTCATTGACTTCTTCATTTCTAAACACGAAATAAACTAGTTTATGATTTATAAGATCGCTTTCATGCAAATTCTACCAGACAATCACTAAACAAGGCAATCGAAATGCTTAAATCGATTGACAAACTAACAGCCGGTTTCTGATTTGAAAAAAGTAGAAAATCTCTACTGCTTATTCTCAATAACCTACGTTTTTTTTAATTTCACAAGTCAAATAGTCCTAGTTTTTTCAAACTGATTATCAAAAAACTAATCGCAAACGAAAACTAAGTAATGTTAATTAACTGTTTTTTAACAATTTCAAACTGACTATCAGTAAACGAATCAGTCAAAATGCTGAAATTAATTATAGATTAACATTTAATAAAGCATTGTAAAAAGATTATTCTAATGTTAACTAATTTACATTACGTTACTACATTATTTCTATTTCTAAACTCAGATTGGGAGATGCTCACGTCCATCGTATGCATACTATTTATTCCCCAAAATGTAATCAATGTATTATCTTTGATTCTACGTCGTTCAATATACAATTCCTTGCTCTAGCAACTTTTGCAAGTCTTTAAGGAAAATGCCCCACGCTCTACGCAAGACCTTTTGAAGAATACTGATACATATTTAACATTATATGCATACGTATCCTCAACCCTCAAAGACATTTAACTTACGACTTGGCTATACCCTGCATCTTAAAGAAAATCAAGATATTGTTATGACATGGCTGTATGGATAATAGTTCTTTGCCTATCTTTAATGAATGAAAACGAAAAAAATGACAAACAATTCTTATATTTTGTTTATTTATTTTCTAAAAAGAAAGCATTATTAATTTATCAAACAAACAAAACAAAGTTGATTTTAATCGCATAATGAAGACAAAAATAAAGTGTCCATGATATATTTCAAGCATAGGTTGCAGTTTATGTGAAAGAACTGTATCCGTTTTATCATTGTGAAAATAACTAATAATGTTTAGTGTTCTCGTTTAACTGCGACCCATTTATAAAAGTTTATTTTGAGAATTCTTCCTGTTTCTATTCTGATGAACTAGTTTGAAATAGCTAGCCTACATATGTAGGATACCCGTGAATTAAACGAAGTACAAAATATTTCCTAGTGCCAAATCATTTATAAATCCATTTTCAATAATTACAATGAATACGGAGCAATTACGGAATCCCAATGAATTAGACATCAGCCTTAAAATGGAATTTGGTCCGTTTGAAACAGTACACAGATGGAAAAGGTTATCTGAGTGTTATGAGTTTGTTGGAGCAAGGTATGTATTTTTCAGAAATACTTTAAATATTTTTAAACCATTTCCTAACTTTGACATCTGTTTTCAATTTATTTATGTTTCTTTTCTTGAAAAAATTAATGATTTACAAATAAATAATGTTACAGACGAAGCAAGCATACTGCAGTAGCTTATAAAGATGCCATCTATGTTTTTGGTGGTGACAATGGTAAATCTATGTTGAATGATCTCATTCGATTTGACATAAAAGAGTTGTCATGGACCAAGATGGGCTGTATGGGCATACCACCAGCTCCACGGTACCACCACTCTGCTGTGGTATGTCTTCCTCTAACAATCTCCCTTCAATATGTAGAGTGAATCTAGTTCATTCAGTTCTGCAACTAAACATATCAATAAAAAATCTTAACTGACATCAAGAAATCTTTAAAAAGTAAAAACTAATACTTATTGACAAATTGATTTCTTATATTTTCACATATACTATCCATAAGACTTGTGTGAACAGAGAACCTGTAAAGGTTCTAAAACATCAATAAAACTAAACACAAATGCAATGCAACTGTTTAAAAGTTATTTCATTTGTAAAGCTAGGTTAAAGTCAGGATCAATCAGGCGTTTTACATTAAATATTTTACGCAAGTCTCTTGTTTGGGTTTATTATCATGCCAGGTACTGTGCCTACCTCCTTCTTTTAGGATAGAGTCCTAGTGTGCTATTAATTTAATTGTGAATGGATATGCCATGTCAGTTTATATTGAACTTAACCCATGGGCAAGATGAGTTAAAGAAATGGGTAAAGGTACTGATTCTGCAGAAGAAAAAAGTGAGTTTAGTTAAAAAAAGGAAATATATAAGGGAATATATAAGGGCAGTTTAAATATTAGAAAGCATATTTATCTAATTCATTAGCTTTGGTATTGACTACAACTTTAGTACTCTCCATATAGTTCTGCAAATGTGACCATATAGTGGGCAATCGCCTGTTTTTCCTGTATTCTTCTCTTTTAGGAAGTCTTGCATCCCTGTTTTCAAGTAACATATTATATTTTCAGGTATACAAAACTTCCATGTTTGTTTTTGGTGGGTACACAGGAGATATCCTAGCCAACTCAAACCTCACCAATAAAAATGACTTGTTTGAATTCAAGTTTCCAAGTGCTCAATGGGTACAATGGAAGTTCGCTGGACAGTAAGATGATTTTAATTATTTTCTGATTTACTCCTATAATATTAGATCCTTACATATGAAATTGGTGTTTGGTATGGAACAAAAAGTCGAGTTTTATCACTAACACTGCAGCCTGCAGCTAACTAGGACGTGGTTTGCGATGGATCCGCTTCCACAAAAGCCTTTAATTCTTCATTATTAACTTGGGTCTGCGGCTGTCCTTGGAGCCTGTTCTGCAGGTCGAAATTACCAGAACAAAAACGTTGGAACCAAAAACGCACTGTTATTTCTTTTGCGACACTACCGAAATACCAGAAGAAAAAATAGAAATGAATGCCGCCTAATGAAACTCAAATACATGTAAATGACTGTATAAATTTGAATTTGGATTTCCTAACCAAGGAGGAGAAATTTGCGATTAAAGTGGGCAGTACGACAAAACGCCAATTTCATATGTAAGAACCTAATAGTTTTTAGTTTACTGCGAAACATGTATCATTACTTATATTATAGGTACCTCAATTAATTTCATAAAATGAATTTTGTGCCTTTGAACCCAGTGATTCAGCTGAGTATGAATAGTTGTAATGTTGCAGAGTACCAAGTCATAAATTAGTGCTGGGCCCATCTCTAATCAATATCAAACATCACTGCTCGGCTTCCTACTGATAATAAACCTTAAGAATGCGCCTAGTTCTTGTGCTTCAAGAGTAGTTAATAGCAATAGGTACAAAAAAATAACAATTATCACAGGAATGAGACTTCAATGAATATTATATCATATTTATTAACTGTATCTACTTTTTGTTAGAGAGCCAGTCCCTAGGTCAGCACATGGTGCTGCTGTGTATGACGACAAGTTGTGGATCTTCGCAGGTTACGATGGCAATGCACGTCTGAACGATATGTGGACAGCAAACTTGTTGGTGAGTATTTATATAACAACCAAACAAACTCTTCAGCTTAATTATATTATAGTATATAAATATAAAAAAAAATAAACTTAAAAGATGTGGGATAGCTGCTGTGACTATCCTACAAATTCATCTAACCCTACTGAAACAACATTATTTTATTGACCTATGTAACAGTATATTAGTAGCACTAAACAGTGTCAATAAACTCCCATCTGCAAAAACAAGTCATAATGCAAAAGGAATATAAAATCACTTCTACATTATCCCAAATGAGAATTAGCCCTGTCTATTTCTGTTATCGTAGGGTGAAACTCATCAATGGGAGAAGGTAGAACAGAAAGGTCAGTGCCCGCCAACATGTTGCAACTTCCCTGTGGCTGTGTCACGAGGCAAGATGTTCGTCTTCAGTGGACAGAGTGGTGCTAAGATCACTAATGCTCTATTCCAATTCGATTTTGCAACTCGCACGTGAGTATATAAACTATCTATAACTTCAAACTACATCCCTTGATGTTCATAAGTCTTTTGATAGGTACAATAAATTTAAGGGTACACGCTAAATCTTCGTTTGCGCAGAGGTAGTCCTTGACCAAACAAATAATTAAAATGTATAATGAGTCTTGTTATTCCAATAAGCATAAGATGTAAACGCATTAGGTATACTTTTCAGTTACACTCCCGCCGAGTGGAGCTCGGATTGTCCGATAGTGCCTTTATCCTTACTCGCAGGCGTAAACGTATATATAATCCCTAATAAATATAATATCCAAATACATCATGTTCAAAAATGTTTGAACACACAGCTGCTTAGCATGACGAAATCCAAAAACGTTTTGTCTACACCCAATTGTCACTTACCTCGGATATCACGGGATATCCCTATACGATAGCCCCTATACGATATCACGGGATATCCCTATACGATAGCCCCTATACGATATCACGGGACAATAACTGAGCTACGCTTGCGGTGTTACAATGCGTACTGTCAAGAAGTATAATAACTGAACAGAGTCAAAGCTTCATATAACTGCGATGTAATAGTTGAATAAAAAGTACCGTATCGTACACGTGATGAAGTGATTGTATCGTTTTATAGTTGGACCCGCGTGTGCATGGAGCACTTGCTACGTTGCGCGTCTACGGGCACGTGATGGAGTGATTGTATCGTGTTGTAGTTGGACCCGCGTGTGCATGGAGCACTTGCTACGTTGCGCGTCTACGGGCACGTGATGGAGTAATTGTATCGTGTTGTAGTTGGACCCGCGTGTGCATGGAGCACTTGCTACGTTGCGCGTCTACGGGCACGTGATGGAGTAATTGTATCGTGTTGTAGTTGGACCCGCGTGTGCATGGAGCACTTGCTACGTTGCGCGGGTCCGGCGCCGGCGCGGCGATACGGGCACGTGATGGTGGCGCACGGGCGACATCTGTACGTGTACGGCGGCGCCGCGGACAATACGCTGCCCAGCGACGTCTACTGCTACGACCTGGACACGCAAGTGTGGTACGCATAAGTTTTGATAAACTATCAACCCCTAAAGTTTGATTTAACAGTGGGATTATTTAATTGATTAGAACTAGACGTAACCATCTGGAAATTCATCGTAATAACTATGAAATTACGATATTCCAGAAATTTCAATACCCGTCACTTAACAGTAACCCACAATTAGAGCTTAATAGATTTCTTAATTACAATTTTACGTAACAATTAAGTTTTGTATAAATGTATTAATTACCATTATTTTAATTCGGAAAACTTCACTGTTGATTGGCATATGCACGCTTAATGTTCGGTTAAAATAAAAAATATACACTTTATTGTAGGCAAAGGAGAATGGGCAATTTACTATGAGAGTTCGGCTATTTTTGCGTAACCGTGCACATTGTTGGAACCAATGGTAAACGATAGAGAATTATTTCTAGAATGAGTAGGAAAAAAACCATTTTAAAATTATGCCGGAGTTTGAGAATATCTGAATATTTAACAGAGATTTTGAGGTTATGTTGTTATAATATCTACGTATATAAGAGCAATAAAATGAATAATGTATTTCAAACAATCGATGACTAACGAATATAAATATTTAATTGCGAAAAAGTATATATCTATACCTATATTACAAAAAGGAAAGATTGAATTTTTTATTGTAAAAGATAAACTCTAAAACGACTGGGCCGATTAAAAACTAGTCTTTGACTAATATAGTACCTAATTAACATTATCAAAGTTAAAATATCTTCATATTGTAAAAGTAGTGGTAGGAAGTTCGCATGTCAAGTCGATTAATAACTTGAAACTTAGTAGGTAGTCGTAGTTATATTGCAGTAGGTAGGTATATACTCACCACTAAAGAAAATATTATAACGAATGTCACTAGAAATCTTAATTTAAGATATTTAGGTATTTATCTAATGGAATCTTGTTATATTTATGTATAACACCAAACATTTTGTTATATTTATGTATAACACCGCTTAAACACGCATGTTTCTTCCTCCGTGAAAACTTATCCTTATCCTTATGCCTACACGAATAAACAAAGCCTATTCTTTGGGATTAATGATGAATGTTAACTTGGCCAATCATTGGTTCAGTTTTTACGTGTCATATTAAGATTCAATTAATTTTTCTCTTAATTTACTATGAAATAGCGAACATACCTTTGTTCATGCTCAAAAGTAAACCGAAGGAAGTCTTATCTTAGATTTTTTCGATACCAGATTAATCCCTTATTTTTCTATAATCGACAAGGCGATCAGCCTTATCGAGTCTATTGTTGCACGGTTGACATTTATCCAAGGCCATATCATGAGTCTAAATTAGTCAGTTTAGCAATTGTTTTAATACGGTTAATTTTAAACGCCGCATAATTATATAATAGTATTTATAAATAATAAATTATAATTAAAGAGAAGATTTTTGATAAATAAATGCGTAGTGCGCAATTTACGTAATTTTAGCCGACTTTTGCCCATTCTCCTTTCATATTTGCCCATTAAATAACATCTGATTATATATGCAATGTCAGGTCTGTAATACACCCATCGCCAGACTCGCATGTGCCATCGGGGCGGTTGTTTCACGCGGGCGCTGTGGTAGAGGACGGTATGTTCATATTTGGCGGTACTGTCGACAACAACGTGCGCAGCGGCGATCTTTTCCGGTTCCAAGTAAGCATATCAAATATATACTTACAAGACTTATTATAATTAGTGCAGAAACTTCAAAATGTTCAGTGATCTCTGGTAAATACTAAGAAATTTTTGTTAATGTTCAACTTATATTATTACACATTTCTTACCTAAGTTCCAGAAAAAAAAACGATTTCAGAGCATATCCATATTAATGTTTACGTTTCAGATCAATTACTCTAATCCAATTAATTTGCTCCGATCACTGGTTGTAATCTTAGAAACATGAAGCAAACAAATCATAATTATTAAATTATCATAAAAACATAATATCAAAGTGTAATCCAGACTTCAAATAAGGTATATTATTCAATTGCAGATGTCGAACTACCCCCGGTGCACACTTCACGAAGACTTCGGGCGAATATTAAAGTCTCAACAGTTCTGCGACGTAACCCTACTAGTTGGTCCCGACGAGATATCGTTCTTGGCTCATCAGGCTATACTTGCGGCGCGATCGAAATTCCTATTTGATAAAATCACGTAAGTGCTAATAATACTGCTGTAAAACCCAACTAATTATCTCATTTGTGCAATTTAGATGACGATCGAACGTAAGAATAAAATTTATAATCGCTCTTGTTTTAATAATTATTAGGTGTAAAATACAACGCACTAGGTTTCCGTCTTGGTTACACTCGTGAACGTACTTCTGATTGAAATTTAACCTAGTTTCGTAATCTATCAACAATATTACCAGTATAGAGATTGTACAGTATATCGACTCGGATTTGTTCTTGTCATAATCACTAAGTACATAAACGTAAACACGCAATAGGACGTCATTCTTATAGGACATAATTTAATATCTTTGCATAATATTTTTAATTAAAAAAGAATTCCTTTCTAATTGTAATTATTATATCGATCGTTATACAAAATCGATGTCACCAATAAATGTTTTAAACATGTTACACCCCAGTTGCGTTATTGAGGAATTCATTAATCCAAAGCAGCACAATATAGTCCACATTCTGCAATATTTTAGTAAATCATCATCATCTAATAAACCCTCAATCTTCTCCATTTTCCATATCAATCTGTTTTAGGCAACTTGGATCCAGTTTGTGCTCACCAATACTTTTTTTTTTCTTGTTACAATACCAATTTTTTTTTCTGTACCGTGATAATATCATGAGTTTGCCTAACAAAATTATATCTATAACTTGTACGAATTAACCGAGACTTCGAGACAGACCGAGAAAAATTAGGAATATTTCAAAACGTTCTTTTAACTTTGTTAAAATTATGTCTGTACTAGGGGTCGCAATACCGTACCATCTTTGCGAAACCGGTATTTTCGGTATTTATTCCAGATAAATCCCGGTATTCCGGTATTTTCGGATTTTTCGGAATTTGAATAGAATTACTAATTGCATCTTCTTAAATGTTATGTAACTTTAGAGGTAATGTAGGTACAAGAATGGCAGAGAAATGGCAAATTATTATTTTCTAAACAAAACCATATTTAATCGACTAGATATTGGTACAACACCTATACATATACATACCTACTCAAATGTAAAAAGGTTTAGGTACCTACATTTCTTTCTCTCTGCACTTTGCTTAATAGTTATAGTTTTTTGGAATAAACCGAATCTGAGATCATGGTGAAACTTACCCTATATACGAGTAGATAGTAAGAATAGGTATTTTATAAACATAGGACAAAAAAATAGAATAAGTAGGATTTACATAAACTTCATACACAACAAAACTACCAGAATTGGTATCTTAGATATCATTTACTTACCAATTTATCCGTTTTCTGTCACTAAACACACAGCAAGACTGGAAGATCATGTATTAAAAAAAAATAACAAGTTTAATTTGCAAGTGAAGTGTTCTGCAATAGAGATAATACAGTAGACTCTTGTCACGACAGGTTCGTCGCGCCGGTGCACGCTATTCGCTCGCTCGCTCTCTAGGTCGGCTATACTCGGCTATCGTCGTACAAATTTTGGCGGTAGATACTTGTCACGCGTAGATTACGTTGTACCCTGATGCATAAAACTTTTGAATCTCTCACGGTAGCTTGAATTAAATTGCGCAACTTTGTTTTATTATATTAGTGTTTTATTTTAATAAAAACCGAAAATATCGAAAAACCGTTTTATGTGAAATTTAAACCGGCATTGTTAAGAACTATATTTGGTCTAGTATTTTCGGTATCCGGAATCCCGGTTTGCGACCCCTAGTCTGTACATCAGAGTCAGTGTCAGATCATACCTGCATTGCATCATACATTATCTAAATATTCGTATCTTTGAAATATATTTGATTTAAGAAAATAGACGAAATTTGTTTTCCGAGTTAATATATTTAATATTATAATTGGCGTTCAAGTGTCATGTTAATTCGTACTAGTAATATTTCCATCAACGCTTGTAATTTATTTTCATATGCTAGAGAAGCTCGCGATGAGTTAAGCAAGCGTATAGCATCAGGAGAGGAGTCAGCATTAGTAGAACTGTACTCGTACAAGTCCAAGCCGGAACTGACAATTAGATTGCCGGAAGCAACACCTGAAGCCTTCAGTATGGTACTCAACTATATATACACCGACAGGATCGATCCTACTGAAAAAGGTAAGTAGATTACTGTTTGAAGGAAAATATAATTGTCAGACTATCAATTTCCCATTGCTGGGCCTTCTTTATGGATGGAAACAAAGCAAATCAAATGGACTGTAGAAGCAGCCGGGACCGACGACCTAACGTGCCTTCCCAAGTACGAACGAGCTCGAGATGATAAATTTTCCATCGGTCACCCATTCTACGACCGGCCCTTGCGATTTGTTCAACTTCCAAATGGCAGGTCAACGCGCTAACCGATGTGCCATCAAACTCCTAAGGAAATATGTATATTTTACTCGGAATTAATTAATGTGTCAAACGTTTAAACTAAAATTAATTACTGAACGCAATCTATGAGAAAATGATATCTTACACATTATTGTACGTGCACAGATGTGGTTATATATATAAATTATCATTTATATAATAAGTTAAAATCTAAAACGCTAAAACGTCACACTCCTTTAAAACTAACATCTTTCTATGTAAACGGTGGTTTTATACAAAATGCCTGCGACATATGCATTATGTTTAATTTTCATTTAAGCAATATCTAATCTAAACATATACTCGTATAACTCAAAGGTGACTGACTGACATAGTGATCTATCAACTCACAGCTCAAACCACTGGACGGATCGGGCTGAAATTTGGCATGCAGGTAGATGTTATGACGTAGGCATCCGCTAAGAAAGGATTTCGATCAATTCTACCCCCAAGGGGATAAAATAGGGGATGAAAGTTTGTATGAAACTTTGTCAATTTTAAACCGATCGGGCTGAGACTTTGCATGCATAAAGCTACTATAACGTAGGCATCCCCGAAGAAAGGATTTTAATAAATTCCACCCCTAAGGGGATAAAATAGGGGATGAAACTTTATTTCAGGTTTTTTACACGATATATTGAATAAATATTCGTTAGAAATGCTGCTCAAAGAAACTTTACCACACGGAGGAAGTCGCGGGCATTAAGCTGGTTATAACTAACTAGTTAAAAAAAAATGTTATTTTCGTTTACCGTCTACACCCTTCATCTCGTGGTGGAATAGTATTCGGGTTCAGTATTGGTGGTCGGTTGCGTACAGACGAGGACCCCGCGTCGCCCGCGAGCATACTGCTGGTGATGGAGGTGTTGCGGCTCGCGCTGCGGCTGAGCATCCCGCGGCTGCGCGGGCTGTGCGCGCGCTACCTGCGCGCCAACCTGTGCTACAGCAACGTGCTGCCCGCGCTGCACGCCGCCCACCACGCCGACCTCAAGTGCATCAAGGAGTTCTGTCTCAAGTGAGATATACACACACACACACACACACACGTGCGCGCGCGCATTCCGTCTTTATTGTCGATGTTTAAAACTACGCAACTGATTTCGATGATTGTATTAAATAAATAATGTGATTTAAAGGGAGGGTTTTGTGCATAACACAGGACCAGGAGGGCTAAACCGCTGGCGAAAAGCCAGTACATAATATGAATTAATTATGTGAGGATAACTTATTAAGAATTCGCAATTCATCATCACACAATTAGAAAAGGAACAAATACCATAGTATTTATTACTTTTTTTTTACGCGCTCGTGTACACACATATATACCCACTCCCACCTCTACCCACACACAAACTCACATACAGAACACACCCCTATCGCACCCACGCACATATATTTACACATAATCACATTTTATTATTTAATGCATGTTTCTATAAACTTTTTGTCGAGCGTGTATACATTTGTAAAAAAGCCACTATTGTGCAAAACTGATTAGTAATAACCTATACAGGCAATCTTCTGACTACCACACGAGAAACTCGATTAGAGCAACTGTGTTTGTAACTAGCACATGTGATACTATTGTGTGATAGAAAAATATTTTTTATTATTCTAACATACATAAATATAGGATACAGTAATACCAAGGGTTTCTATTAATATATAATAGATCTGTTAAGAAAAAACATCGTATGACAGAGCAGCAGTGAAACAAGATGGAATTTAAAAGAAACTATTGAAAAAATATGCAATAAATCAGTATATTAAAACTATTATTTTTCATTTTATATAGTTTCATTTCACTTAGTAGCCTTAAGTTTTATATTGGAGTTTTACTCCATATTTGTTGTTGGTACTCGTACTTATACATTTGGCAAATGGCATGCCACCTTGTCATCAGGTAGCTCTAATTGTGTGCAATGTCTTCTACACACATTAATGTTGAAAGATATATTGGTCTTCAGGTATATGATACAATGACAAAATTGTGTAAATATTAGCAGAATTGACCTGCTTCAAGATTAGCAAGCAATTTTTTGTACCTTTCAGCTTGTCTAATAGTTCCCAAAGTGATTAATATACCCCTTGGGGTCAAATCAGTTTCCTGTTGGTCGACATAAAGAAAAACTGATTTTGAGGATTGTCGCGATTTAAGAATCGACCTCTAAATAAACTTAAATTCTTGTTTGAAATTTAAAGATCCTTATATGTTCAATCATCATATTGAATTATTTTTATTTTACGTGATTTACTCAAATTCAGTAAATATTTCTATTATTTTAATATATGAGTTAAATATGTTAATGTTGTATAAATTTTTGTTATATTTTTTATATCTACAGATTCGTAGTGAAAGATTATAATTTCACGCCTATCGTGATGTCTAAGGAGTTCGAACAGATGGAACAGAGTTTGATGGTGGAAGTGATTCGTCTGAGACAAACTCCTCCTAACAAGCAACCCGCTGCTACAGAGTGCGACGAGAATATCATGGGTATGTCGTTTATGTAAATGTAAGTGTATTTTATTTTTGCAAAACGAACTTGCAGTTCATAATCATCAACGCGGGCGGCCATGACGGAGCATCGTGTGACGTCACATTTCAATAAGCTAAACGTCAACGTTTTTGTTGCGACTGTAACCGGTACTCACGTTTATTGGAATGTGACATCACGGTACGAAACTTCACGGAACTGATCGTTTATTGAAATTAATGAACAAAAATATGTTTTTTACTCTATTTAATAACCATTTCTGACAAACAATCAGACACTCGCATAGAGACTGTCTCGGTATATGTTTGTGGAACCCCATCATCATCCTCTTGCCCTTTATCCCACGTTACGTGGGGTCGGCACAACACGTTTTCTTCAGACGTCAGCTCAACATCCACACCTTTCTTATTCATATGCTCTTTCACACAGTCGATCCATCTTTTCTTCGGTCTGCCTCTACTCACATATCCATCCACATGCATACCCATCACTCTTTTCGTAACATGACTTTCGTCCCTTCTCTTAACGTGGAACCCCAACGAACGCTTTGCAAAACTACGGCCCCGCGGGGCACAGCTTGAGTACCGCTGATGTGTATCGGGCGTCGTGACGTAGGGCTGGGCACGACGCTGGAGCAGGACCTGTGCGCGCTGCTGGGCGGCGTGGGGGGCGTGGGGGGCGCGGGGGGCGCGGGCAGTGTGGGGGGCGCGGCGCTGGCGGACGTGACGCTGCGCGTGGGGGCCGCGCGCCGCCCCGCGCACCGCTCCGTGCTGGCCGCGCGCGCCGCCTACTTCGAGGCGATGTTCCGCTCGTTCTCGCCGCAGGACAACATGGTCAACGTGAGTCGACTTCAAAATAAGTAACCGACTTTAAAATAATGAAAATACTTCAATATAAATAACCGACTTCAAAATACATCATCATCATTATCATCAGCCCTTTCACGTGGATGTTTAAGGAGGATGGGCGCCGACCCTCCGCGCTGTTTCCATTCGAATTGGAGGGTATTCAAGATTGCAAATGTGGCCGGGACCGACGGCTTAGCTTGCCTTCCGAAGTACGGAGTAGCTCGAGATAACATTTTTTTGGTCACCCGACCCTTGCGGATATTGCTTAACATCAACGATCGCGGGCCCCGACGCTCGTCCACTACGCCACTACTACAAAATAAATAACCGACTTTAAAGTAATAAAAAAATTCTATACAATCAACCGACTTTAATATAATTAACAGAATCCAAAATAATTGAACTACTTTATAATAAATGTTATCCGATTTGACCCGTATGTATATTTAGTATTGTTGGAGCTGCACAAAAATACATATGTCAGTCCACTTAAGCATCTAATCACTCAAATTTCGTAAGTGTATGTATGTTTGACCGCGTATTTCTGACAAATTTATACATGGGATCGCAAACCTTTCTTATTTGATTTATTAACTTTCAATTTGGGAATAGTAAAAGATTCATCAAAAATCAATGGAGTAAAAGAAAAAAATATTTAACATTTAATTTCTTAATACATAGAATTTTTTTAATGTCCATGATGACAAACTGTGAACACAATTATTCGAATTTGTTGCTTTACTTCAACCAGTTGCACAAATGTCCATTAAAACTGTCATTACTTTAAAGCGACATTACCCATACAAATTCGGCATTCATTAGAGTTTAAAGGCGTCATTAACCCTTAATGGACGTTTGTGCAACTAACCGTGAGTCTGTTCTAGTTGGCATATTGTTAATTTTCACATGATGAGGGTAATGAATATCGAGGTTGTAATATTTTTTGACTTCAGTAGATCCTGATGCGTATAACTTTGTTAACTCGAATACATCCACAGATTCAGATATGCGATACGGTGCCATCGGAGGCAGCGTTCGATTCCTTGCTTCGATATATCTATTATGGCGATACAAACATGCCCACTGAAGACTCTCTATATTTATTCCAAGCGCCTATTTACTATGGTGAGTCTGTTTACATGACAAATTAACTTTTTTTTTTCTAAAATAACTTAAGAAATATAGTGAGCCTTTTCATTTATTGTCACTCTGTATAGTTTGCAAGGGGTTTTTTTCATTAAGTGTAACCGATTTAAATATGTGCGCTCAAAAAACTCAAAAAAATTGTAAGTCCAGTAGTCTCAGAGCAAATCTGCTGTAACAGAGAGGCGGACAGACAGATGAACAAAGATATGCTGTAAAGCGGTAGCTCTTAACCGACGGTCCACGGACCACTGACCCTCATAAAATTATTAATTTCGTCATGAGTGAAGTGGATTTCGGTGAAGGTCACCTCGGTCATTATAATATTGGTATTCCATATAGGTTTCACGAATAACAGGCTGCAAGTGTTCTGCAAACACAATCTCCAAAGCAACGTATCTCCAGAGAACGTACTCGCTATATTACAAGCAGCTGATCGCATGAGAGCTGCAGACATCAAGGAGTACGCGCTGAAGATGATCGTGCATCACTTCGGAGTGGTGAGTATACCATTTCTTACATAGAAATTATATGCATAAACAAGTCTGGCCAACATGACGCTTAGCTCGAATGACGTTTTTGAAAAGTACAGCGTGCAAAAACAGTTGTAATTTCTAATTTATTTATTAATAATATATTTCATTTAAATAACCTAAGATTGATATCTTATGTTAAGAAAAATTGAAGAATTTCGTTCGGCTACAGAGGTCGTCCAGGCTCTAACCTATCCCTTGTCGCAATTCCGGATAGGATTTACGTTAAATCCGGTATCCCGCTGCAGAAGCAGTAAAATCATTTTAAACTCTATTTTACTATGGAATAGGTATGAAAACTATTTTTTTATTGTGTTTTTTTCCGTCCGGGGGGATTATAAAAGAATATTATACACGTATATTTTTATTTTATACGTAATCAATAAATAACGGATATACATCGGCTTGATAATCGCCTTACTTCACACCTTTGTACATTTTCTTTTGACTCACTCCTCAACTTTAATGCCTATTATCGAAGTAGTTTCTTGTTAAATTGAAGCAAAAAAAGACGAATCTAATATTTTTCTATTATCTGACTAACGGACTAAATAATTTTTTAAACCACGCATCATCTCTATTGTCACGGCTCTGGATGAGTCCACAAGTGATTTATATTTCTATAGAGGATAATTTAATATCCATAAACAAAAATTAAGAGAGGTGCCATGACGTATTTAGTAGACACTTTCTACCGTGTTTCTATGAATATCACTAAATAACAATATATATCACTTACCAAAAGCCAATTAGACATTAAAACTTAATTAAATATCCCTTACAGGTCGCTCGCCAAGATGCCATCAAGAATCTCGCTCAGCCACTTCTAGTGGATATAATCTGGGCACTCGCAGAAGAACCCCACTTCGACACCCCCCTCCCTCAACAGCATACCAAACCCCTCCCTACGTCATCCTCCGCTGACGCCCTCACGGATGACCCAGAAAACAAACACAAGTCTGGCAAGTCCCATCAGTAATTAATGGAAATTCCTAGCCTCAAGTGGATTTGACAAATTAAATAAATACCAGTGAAGAAAGAGGTGTATGTTCCTACAATTTGTATTCTGAGTTATTTATCTGGTGTAAATCTTAATCCTGTTTAAAAAATTACGAAACCCTTTGAGAAAAATATGTAGTGTCTTTGTGCTTCGCTTGGCTCAGTTTGGCTCCTATGTACAAACATACCCATTATTCAGATTTGCTGAAGTGTACATATTGGCAAATCATTTAAGTAGGATTGGCCAAAAAGCTCAGTCTACAATTATAAGAAATGTTTCTTCATATAAAATTTATAAATTTAAAACATATACTGATTACAATTTAATAGTCAAGAAGATCTGTGATATATTGAATTTGTGTGTATGAAGGGAACCCTATGATAAACATGTCCAATTAACAGCACCATTTTATACCTTTTTTTGTAAGGACAGCAAGTAGTACATCAGGTTACCTAAAAGTTACTAAATGTCTTTAAAAATATGTTTTAGATAAACTAATGATATTGATAAAGTACTACAACTTTTTGTAAATATAATAAAAATGCAATTACATTACATGTAATAATTTAATGAATAAACATATTTAATTAAACTAATGAATTTCAATTTCTGTGACTTTTATTCATATTTGTGCTTAATGTCCTTCCACAGTTTCTGAAACAAAGTAACGAATGAAAAATAATTATATAAAAAAATATGATGGAACTCTTGGAAAACAAATATTTACACATAAATATAGTTATTAAATTTTGTGATTGGAAACTAGAAGTGTTAGCTGAATTTTTCTGTAGATGAAAATTTTTGGTTAAATTCTTTTGTCTTGAAATGCTAGACATATGTATTTAAATAGAAGGGCACAAAGTTTTCTTGGAAATTTACTAAATTAACATATAAATTATGAACATTTAATTTGTGAAATAAATGTTTTTTTAGGTTATTACATAACAAAATACTCACTCCCTTGTTTATGTGCTCAAATATAGCCTGAGATGCAACATCAAAGGTTCTTTCGAAAAAGAAAGTGCCTGAGGCTACAGCTAAGGCGAACGTCGAGGTACGTTTGAAAACGGTGCGATTTAGAGTAGCCCAAAGAGACATTTTTGTGTTAGTTAAAAAACTATCGCAGCCGAAATACGTCCCTCGCAGAAAACGTAATGTTTAAATCAGTATAAATTCACACAGTACAGTTTTTACTCTTTGGCAGAATACATAGAGTAATTACTTACTCTATGTATTCTGCCAAAGAGTAAAAACGTATAATAAGTAAGACCAAGAAGGAGATACTTCGAATGCCGAATGAGAAGCAAAGATACCGATTTTTCCGAATGACATTCACTGACAGCAGACGTAGAGCTGCAACGATTTAAATGAAAATTGATATATATCGACGCCCAAAAGAAACGACTATATAACCCAATGTCATTTTATTATTAGACACGTCACACCCGTGGATTACTGCGATTTAAAACAGCCTAAATTTTATTGTAGTAGCGTAACATTATAAATACGGGTTGTATTCATTCAAAGGGCATCAAAAATACTTATCTCTCCATCAGAATCTTCAGCATACCTCTTGTTAGAACCAGATAAATATATTTGCATAGCTTTACGTGTCAACTGCTGCATCCTCATAGAACACGATAGACGAATAAATAGCCGCGTTGAATAACGTTTATTTTTATTTAAATAAAAAAGAGAAAGTACAATACTTAAGCATGAAATGATATCTTTTTTGCTTTTCTCATTGTCAATGTGTGAAATGTGCATATTTTAAATACCTTGTTCAGTTTATTAAACATGTGTTCATCCTATTTCAAATGTAAATAAGACATTTTGACATTGTGGCTACAAGTGTCTTCTTATCGCCTTTTTTAAAAACAGAAGCCACCATCTAACGGAGTAAGGCTTCACAAAAGTAGGCTTTTCAAGCTGCTGTTTCTAAATTTAGTATCTGTTACCAATTCTTGACAGTATTTTTAAAAAATAAGTTTATAATAAAATAAAACAAAAATCAACGCCAATTAAATTCACAATCCGGTTTTATTAAACCGACAAGATTACAAAAATAGCTAAACAAATAACAAAACTCACACTAACTCCACTATCGTCACTTCAAAACACTTAGATAGTCCAGATACTTTACTAGTTAGGTATGCTTCTTTCGTTCTTGTATTCAGTTCACTAAAAATATATAAAAATCAAAATATCGTGTTTGATATATATCGGTTACAGTCGATAATGATATATCGCTTCACAAATTTGATATATTTTGGGTCAAAGTAAATTCAAAAATCTTCTTCTTTCTACGGGCGTCTCCGCAAGTCGACGTCAAATTTTACGTACGGAGGTTGTGTGGTCGGGGTTTATTCCAGCCATCCCAGCCCTACCAGAAACTCCCCCAGGGCCTTCACGTTTGTGATGGCCTCTTTTAGGTTACCCGGCGAGCCGAGGTACTTTACCCGGTACCTGGTCACTCCGTTGCACTCCAGCAGGATGCAAGCGGCTGTTTCTTCTGCCGTGATTAAGATTATCGCCAATAAAAAACAGTAATAGGATATGGATTAATAATTTATTTTAAACATGTTTCTTGGTGATGGAAAAACTGAATTGAATATCTACGATTTTTTCAACAAGGATGGAAACTTTATATTACCTTGTTGGTCCTCCAGGGCCTGGCTTATATCATAAATTGCTGTACTACATTTTGTAATGCTAATTCAACATATTTTGGTCAAAACATTCAATATATCATCCATACATTACACTTTGAAAGAGGGTTAAATTAAGTAAAAAAATATCAGTTATTTGTACAATCAGATATTTATAGAAACTACTATTAATAGAATCATTTTCAGAATTATACCTACATTTAAAAAAATTGACAATTATAGACTATGTAGACATTTCGCGAATCGGTCATACGTCTACTTTCATTCCGATTTTCGGATTGACTATTCGATAGACCGGGGGTGCATTTGCACTTGTGTGAATCGATTTTAGTTAAAGGAAAAAATTAAATCCACTGTTTATTATGGGCAAAATATAATCATCTATTTACATTTTAAAACAAATAAAATGCCGCTATGAACAATATTTCTTAAAAATAAATAAAGAGTACTGAAATGAGAAAACCATGCACATAAACACCATAATTTAATAGTGTACGGAATGATCGCTTGTAAAGTGATATTATGTACTTGTTGCAATTTTTTTTTGTAAAATAAAAAAGTGTGGAAATAAAACTACTATAAGAATCGTCACTCAATTTTACAAAATTATTTTCGAGAAAATGATCTTTCTGGTAGTAAGAAGTTGAGAACACCAGATGAAACCTTATTTTTTTATATTATCCACAAGTATAAAGTATCGAAGTTGACAATTTATCACTGTTTTAAATAATTTGTTTGTTTAATTTTGCTATGAAAATTTTACATAATTACATATATTTCTTTAAACCTCAGATTATAGAAACTAAGGAGATATGTACAAATATCATTTATTCTGATTATTATCACATAACTCAAAGCTCTTTTTTGTTTAACAACTTAATACAAAGTTAAGCAAGCATTTCACAAAATAATAATCCACTTCCATAAGCTCCCTCCAGTCATCTCCAATTTCTATTATCTAAGTTTCAAATGAAAACTAGGTTTTTAATTTTATAATCTTAAATACCAAATAAATAAATATCAATTCTGAGTAAATAATTCAATACTGCCAATATGAAATTCAGAGATAATAACTTGTAAAGTGGAATTGACTATATAAAACACTGGGCTAGTAAATTTAGAAATAAACACATTTAAATTAAAATTACAAGAATCATTGATTGTTGTAATGTCATAATACTTTAAATTAAAACAATATTATAATGTGAATCCAATTGGCTACAGCAAAAAGAAATGTTAAACAAGACATTAAATTAATTTTCATGCACACTACTCATTTAATGAATAAAACTTTGATAGGTTTTAACGCTATTGATTTGAGATGTGCTTAGAGCCTGCAAAGGATTTGTCTGCAAATGTCTAAAAACAAGTAAAAACTACAAATTACACAATTTAAAACCATCCAAAAGTTGTTTCATTAAATTAGTATTACACGTTTATATCCTATATGCAACACTTCATATATAATACACAACACACCATCACATAAATTTTGATATAATGGGAATACAATCATACACATTAACTATGCATTCATAATATCCTAATGTAATTTTAGGAATCAATTTTTCCATATATTGTACATGCTCCATAATGAGATTGTTCAACCCAGCAAACAACTAACATTAGAATGTAAGCAATATCATTTATCATTGCAGTTTCGAAACTGTAACACAAAACTGATAACTTTTTAACTGATAAAAATTATGATGATACATAATTAATACAAAGACTTCATACTGTAATCATTAACACTGTCAAGGACTATTGTGATATATAATAAAAAAATGCACCTTACAATGTTAACTTTGATTAAATTCTCCTTGGTATACTTTTGTATATGTTGTTGAGTCACCCTGCTAGGGTTGTGCAACATATCTCTCTGTATTTGAGCATAGTATAAGCAACGTCCATGGCACTGAGCCGTTGCCTGCAACCACTAGCAGCATTTCTTTTTAGTTTTATGACTTCTTTTTAGGTGGACAGTGTCATTTGATGTCACATTTTGCCTCTCCTTCATTTCTAATTTAGATCTTAGTACCTGTAATTAAAACATGATAGATTTCAAAAATTGATTTTTAAACAGTGAGTATCTTCCCAAAACTAAAATGATATTGGTGAATGGTACAAATCATTTGGAATGAGGCCATTTTTATAAGACATTTTTTGTAACATTTCAGTTAAAGCCAATGACAGTTATACATATATAAAAATTAAGTTTTCCAATATGTTCTCATATAACACAAAATGAAGAACAATTTTAATACCTTGTGATACTGTAATCAATCTTATTTGTTACTGCTTTGTGTGATGCTTACACCCAGTTGCAGAAATATTAGTTAAAAATAACATTACTAATGAAAGTCTTCAAATATAGAACAGGAATAAAAATGGTGTGACAATAAAGTATTATTATTATTATTCATTCAAACTTTGTCATTATTAAACCTAACATTGTTTGTACATTTGTATGTATTAAGAAATAATGCATTTCATGTTTTTTTTTTTTTAATTTATAATGAGCAAACTCACATTTTTCACCATTTGTGACAGCCATACTTTTTATTCTTGTTAGACAATTCCATACATGAATGAAAAATAATAAAGGATGATAAAATACTAATTCAGAAATTACCATTTTAGTGATTGTAAGAAACATTTCCTCCACATTGATATTTTCCTTTGCACTAGTTTCAAATAAAGGTATGTTCATTTGATTCGCAAACCTCTGCGCATCCTCTGTAACCACCACCTTTCTTGAAGGGCAATCATTCTTGTTTCCCACTGAAAAAGACCAGTCAGTTAGTTTCTATAATTAATTTCCTATAATAATTGCATAGGTTTTCTCAATGTGCTCTATAAACTGAGTTTCCCTAAGGATATATTGGGAATCCACAAGATATTGGCTATATTACAATAAATAATTGGTGATCCAGTAAAATGTGTATGTAATTCATAGTTACCTAATAAACAGTATACTTAAAACTATGTTTAGCTATATTTTAGGGGTTTATGTATTATAATAATAGCTAGCATACATTATTTTGTATATTATAACTAATAATCATTCATATATACTATTATTAAAATTACTTTTACAGTCCTTAATGCACCTCAAAAACTACCGGAAAGATCTAAAAAATTCTTTTATGAAATTATCACCAGCCAAATTGTATTTAAATTTAAAAATTTACATGAAAACAGATATCTAACTGGTACTAAGTATGTCACTAAATTTCAAATACTGTTGTACTTTACCACAAATAAACACTGTCCCCACCTTAACCAATAATGGAGTGATGAAGATCTACTTTTATAAATATCAAAATATAATAATTATTAGCTTATTTATTATCCACTGCATCACCATGGGCATGGTGATAAAATACAGAACGTCCATTACTAACCAAAGTAGACCCTTGTAGATTAGTAAGAGCAATGGCTTAGCATGCAGTTATGATATTACACAATATACTAAACAATAGATACATTTTTTTACATCCATTTTAACAATTAATTTAAGGTTTAGTAACATTAAGGATTTTTATATTGTAATAGTGCAACAGATGACACTTATGTAAAACATTAGGTAACATTTACAAAAACAAAAATTACTTGCAACACGATGATTATATAAGATAATTAAGAAATAATTTATGCAACTGTTTTTTAAACACAAAAGTGAAACTAGGGATCATTATACAACATTGAAGTTAAATAATATTAGTTTATAAAAGTAACAAATATTCTGAATTTAAACTACAATTTAAAGATTGTAATGCCTAGATAAACTTTATGCAAAGTGTATCATTTTAATAATTCAGAACCTATTTAAATATAAGTAGCTAACTTAATGAAAGTTACTTATACCTTTTCTTTGTTTAGATTTCACCTTACAATTATAACATTCAAATACTTAATACTTTTACTATGTAATTTTAAACCTCTTTGTTTTTATTCACAACATTTACAATAAAGTTTCTACTTGATAAAATTATTATACATGGAGTCTTAGAAAAAAGTAGTTTATTTAATTATTTAACACTTACCCAAAACTTTATTTACGACATCACAATTTTGCTCGATCTCATGCAGCCATCGCTTGACATTAGCAAAAGACTCTCCATTAGTGACATCATAAACTACAATTACGCCATGAGTCCCTCGGTAATATGTGCTCGTTATGGTCCTGAACCTTTCTTGACCAGCCGTATCCCATATTTGCAACTTCACTCGTTCACCGTTTATTTCTAGAGTTCTTATTTTGAAATCTACACCTATTGTCGTGATATAACTACCCGAAAATGTGTTATCAGCGAATCGTAGAAGTAAACAGCTCTTACCGACACCTGCAAAATAATACATTCATGAGCAAATTACACTGAAAGTCGTTAGGAAGTCGTCACATCCACAGGCCTCGCCCACTCACCACTGTCACCGATAATCAGCAGTTTGAAAAGATGATCAAATTCGCGTGCCATCTTCCAAGTTTACTGCTACTAATTCTCTAATTGGTCATGTGCTTATTAGTAAAGTTTTAAATGGATTTGAAACAAGTAGAATAGAGAATATTGTAATAAAACGCATGCCGTTAAGCGCTAAGCTTGCGTCACTTCAGAATACGTCCGCCATTATTGTCATTTTTTTTTTGTTGCTACTTTTGGAAAAAGGTTGCCATCATCAAATTATAATTCTATACATAGTTTAAAAAATTGCTTCCCACTGTCTGTACGCTGAGATCTTTTAACTACACAACGGATTTTAATGCGGTTTTTATCAATATATAAAGAGATTCAAGAGGAAGATTACTATGTTTAATACAGAACGACTCTGGTGAAATACTATTAACTCATGTAAGTATATGTCGCATGGTCGCAACAAAGTCAAATAAATAATAGTTTAGATAAAGCAGTCGACCAATTGGATGGACATTATTAATCAGTTGAATAATAGTTTTTATAAGAGACACTAGGGGACATAAACTTACTAACTTAAAAAAATCACATTTACAAAATATCCATGGTACTCATTAAAATAAAATTACCTTTATCAAATTTCATTACTCTACAAAAGCTTTTGATAGGCCACGATGTTGGCTAATGAATAGAATAGACATAGATACAGTTAAAGATCCAGTAGACTCAGATGAAATATCTAATAGATGGAATGCATTTAAGCAAAAATTAGGTTTTCTCGTTTCCATAAAAATAAAGTATCATTTGCTTGAAAGAGTGAGGTATAGTGTATCTGGTGAGTCCTGCTAGTAATTGGAGTTAGTACTATATAACAGGATTTGTAACTCCGAAAAATTGTAATTACAAAAATGAATTATAACTTTAACTATTAAAGTATACTTTTCATTACTTTTTGTGCAGAAGCTAATCCAAGCCAAGAGAGATAGTCACTACGAAGGACGTAAGTCTCGTTTTATCATCTTGCCATTATAAAAAATATCCTTCATTAAAAATTTTAACTGCAATAACCTTAGTATATGTATTTTAATGGTAATTATTAAAAAAATAATTACCATTAAAATACATATACTAAGGTTAAAAATAATAATTACATTCTTTATTACACGCTAGATAGGACATATTACAGAGAAATTAGAAAAAAAAGAGACAGAATACAAAGGGCGGCCTTATTGCTACGTAGCAATCTCTTCCAGGCAACCCGAGGCTTGAAGAAAGAAAAACAAAAACTATATAAATAAAAGAGGGGATGCAAAATGGAGAAGTAAATAGATAAATCTTTATAATGTTATATAATAACAATAAAAAAATAGACAAAGATAAAAAGTCATTAAACATAAACATATTAACAGTTTTCCAGGAAGTGTGTTCTTACCTTTTCGATAAAACAATGTCAGGTGCGAGCCTTTCTTATACCTTGAGGCAACGAATTCCAAAGACGTACCGCATGCACGGATAATGAGTAGGATAAGAAGGGTTAAGTTAAAGATGAGCGTAGAGTACACTGTGAAGAGGAGGTTCGGAAGGATTTGTTTAGATAAGCCTCATTCTCGTAGATAGAAAAAGGATGGAATATAGGAGCGTAAGAGTATGTTAGTCTCTGCGCCGGCAAATAGGGAGCCAGTTTAGTTTGGAGCGTAAGTATGACACATGGTCATATTTGCGAAGATTGAAGATGAATCGGATACCTAAGTTCTGCAAACGCTCCAGTTTGTTAAGAAGCTCTTCCGACAAATCAGTGTAACAAACATCAGCGTAGTCAAGGATTGAAAGCAAGGGGGTATGAGCCAGGACAATTTTTGTGTGTGTGGACAAAAAATTGCGCAGACGGTTGAGTGAGCCATCCGCGGCAAACATTCGCTTCCTTTTTTAGGTGAGACTTCCAAGAAAGGCACTGGTTAAAAATCACACCGAGGTTTTTGACAGATTAATCAAATTAATTTCGTTTATATAAAATTATTACAAAAAGATAATGCTGATTGTTATCAAGGCTATTTGTGTTGCGTTTATGTTTGTCCAAGTAAATCTTGTAATGGTTGCAAAACTTTTTCACAATTAAGATAAAAAAAAATAATTTAAAGAAAAACAAAAAAGCCCGACTGCGTAAAAAAGAATTTAAAAAATACATGAAAAAATTAACTTAAATCAAAACTTAAAAGAAAGAAAACAAGCGCAGTGGTTTAGAATTCTGTTAAGTAATATAGAACAAAACGACTCATAGTCGGGGCCCCTTGGGAAGATTTGATTGGTAAAATTTGAATGGGCTTCACTAGCAGCAACTATCTCTCCCTCTGTGGAGGAAATCGCGCCCATCCTCTGTCTTTTGCTCGGCCGAGATATGGCCCCTATCGAATAAAGGCAGACCATTCCAGACGTAGATTGTCCTGTATTGGGATTTCCCTCATTATCTGCATCGCTGTAAGTTTGAATGCATTTTGACGCGGTGAAAAATTGGTATCTTATACCATTATTGACTGTCCCTTTAATGTAGCGAAAAATTCTCTTCATCTGGTTTGAGATTGTCCAAGGTTCTTGAGACAAAACTTACAGCATACGCTATGTCAGGTCGCGCACCAACTGCTTGTCTGTAGAGAAATGGAACTGCTTCCTGCTCGTTTTCGGTTATATGAATATCTTTAACTATAGAAGTTACTGCAGCCTTACAGTTTTGCATATTAAATCTCTCCAACAGACGTCTCGAGTATCCTTTTTGTTCGATTTTGAAAGATCCATCAGTTTCCCTCTTAATCTCAATTCCCAAAAAATACGAGCCAGGTTAAGTGGTAATTTTAAAACCCTGTCTTAACTAACTCAAAAACTTTTCCGTTTCATTTGGGTTTGCAGACGCTATCAATCTGTCGTCTACAAATAATGCAAGGATTATTTTATTTTCTTCAATATTCTTATTTCTAATGAAGAGGCATGGATCACTGTCGCCCTACTTGAATCCTCTCTTCGAGATATATTGTGTAATGCAGTGGTTCCAGCAGCGAGGTGCTTGTTTCAAACCATACAAGCTTTTTTTAAGCTTACACACTTTTCCTGTTCTATCATCATACCCTTCTGGAGGTTTCATATAAATTTCCTCATTCAAATTTCCGTAAAGAAAAGCCGTTGATACGTCATATTGTGGCAAAGTTAGCTTTTCCTGTGCAGCAACACTTATTAATGCCCTTACAGAGTTTAATTTTGCTACTGGGTTAAATGTCTCGTAGAAGTCTACTCCTTGCTTCTGAGTATAGCCCTTGACTACAAGGCGAGCCTTATATTTTTGCTCTGTGTCATCCGGATTGGTTTTGATTCTGTACACTCACTTGCAAGGCATCGCTTTTCTCCCTTTGGGCAAATCTACCAAATCCCATGTCTGGTTTTCTCTAAGAGAGTTAATCTCACTCTCCATAGCTACTCGCCATTTATCTGACTCGGCACTTTCAATTGCTTTTTTGAAACTTGTAGGCACAGAGGATTAACAGATGAAGATTGTAACAAACATTGCAGACATAATCACGATATCGATTTGGCGGTCTGAGATTGCTGCGATTATTAGCTCTACTGTTAGCAATATCTTCACAAGTTTCATACTTAACTCCTAGAAACTCAGTATTTAAACCTTGTTGTGTTTGCTTGCAGTCATCTGGAAAAATTACAGACTTGTGCTCAGGCAGACATTTGGTCTCTGGTTTGTCCTCTTCCAAACATTCAACTTCTCTGAGCACGGGGTATTCCTAGAATATAAAATCTCGTGACCGTTTAAAATTGTCACTGTCCCAAATGCGATAACCTTCGTTGCTGTCATATCCAATTAGGATCCCTTTCTGAGCCTTTTTGTCCAATTTTCGACGTTTTTCTTTAGCAATATGGGGATAACAGGTTGTTCCAATCACTCTTCAGTGGCTTACTCTTGGCTTTTTGCCATGCCATGATTGATACGGCGATTTTCTATTGGGTCCCGGGCCCGTTCTGGTCAAAATATATACCGATGTTAGAATCAGTTCCGCCCATAAGCCTGCTGGTAATTCCTTATGGGCGTACATCATGACTTTTGCCATCTCTACAACTGTTATATTTTCTCTTTCAGTGGGGTTTTGTTGGCGTCGTAAATCTTTGTTTGATGCCTTTCTTCTCTAAAATAGTCCGAACTTTGCTATGATCAAACTCTCCTCCGTTGTCGCTTAAAATTTCTTTCACTTTCACACCAGCTATTTCGACTTTAGCTAGCATTAGTGATAATTTTTGATGGATTTCTGACTTTTCATGTATTATACCCAACGGTATCCAGTATGGACATGCTAGAAAAGCACGAAATAACGATTCTTCGCAAAAGATATAGGGAAAGGTCCACAAACGTCTGTACAAATCAGTTCGCCAGGTCGAGTTGCCTTTTCTCTGGTTCCGAACTTCAAGCGATGAGACTTACCGTAAATACAACCTTCACAAAGCTCGTGAATTGCTTCCGCTTTGATGTTGAGCTCGTTCTCAAAAAATTTCTTGACGTGCATTTTATTTTGATGGCCTAAACGTTCATGATACAGCTGTAGTAATCGTTCTCTCGAGTGCCAAAAAGTCGTTTCTCACCATCGACTTTCATAACGCATGTTGTCGGAGTTGACTCAAAGGATTTTTGATTATCTGAGTTGTCATATGCAGCGAGCATAGAAAAGAGATTTCTGCTGATAGAAGGCACACACCAGACATTTCCGACAGTAGTGTCCAGAATCTTGTATATCTCTTTAAAATCGAAATATGCATCGCCGTATCATGCTAGGCATCTTTTTAGTACGAAAAGAAAGTCTGGCATAGCTGGCGTAGCTCTGGCCTATACTGGACCCTCCGAAAAGTCTGTGTAGCTCATCCCACGTGTCTTTAGAATAGGTAAAGCGAATCATTTTTTCTAAAATGTCATCTGGTAAGTTTGACGTTAACAGTCATGCTGTCTAGCTTATCATACTCTTGTACTTCTTCCTGGTACCTCGCAGTATCTTCTGGTGTAGCACCTGGTAATAATATTGGCCTTGATTTGGTTCCTTCCAATATTTCCTTTGCACCCTGTAGCCCCTTTAGTATCATTAAGATTCTCAACTTTCACGTATTGAATTTCTTAGAGTCTAAGTTCCCAATTCGAATCTTGGAGACCTCTGCTATAGATAACACTTCTGCAGCCCAAGTTTTCACGAATTTTTCAAACAATTTGTTTAGCCACCAAAACAACTCTAAAAATTCTTGCCGACACTTTTATTTCTTCTGAAATTCTCTGCTACCATATTAAAGAAATGATAAAGCTCGGATTGAAAGTATAAAATACGAGTATAATAGCAAAACATAAAGACAGATACAAATAGAAATGACAAACACGTCAAGTAGGCACAATACACATAAAACACTAAAGAGATCGAAAAACTACCAAGAAGTCTTTACTTCTTTACAGTTATTACCAGAGGTCGGAATTAGGTAGAGTTATTTATGTACTTGCATCGAAATGTTGATATTAATGTGGACCTTCCCGGGATTTCTAATGGACAATCCCGTGTGGCCAACAATCTTACAACTAAATAATAATAACAACGTCAGAGATAGACAAATAAAACAAAGATAATTAACATGAATTTTTTATTAGTTTACATTAATTTACAATACAAATTTTGCAACTTTGGACATCCGATGTCATTGATGTAAGTTTGGCAACGTCGTGCGTGCAGTATTTTAAATTGTGTAAAAGTAAATAACTTTTTATTTAAAAAATCACGGGATTTTTTCTGCTCTTTAAAATTAATCTCGGGATTTGAGGCATATCCACTTTATTCTTTCGCTGTATGAAATCAGTGTAAGTACATGAATAACTCTACCTAATTCCGACCACTGGTTATTACTAATAGATTGCTTAACAAGATGTGGGTACCAGTATAATGGGGAAGTATTTAAAAAATAAACATTCGTTCCCGAAATCAAACTAGATGTTGCTACGGTACATTCTTGATTTCTCCATGACAACCTTTCCGGTTTTCTTTCAAGTTTAAAAGTAAATTCGTTTTCAATAAGTTTCGAACTTTTAAAAATTTCAGTTTCTTAATATGTTAGTTAAAAGGAACGGAAATTACTGACTTTGGTCCATTCGTTTCCTGCAAAAATCAACTTTTGCTAGAGTCGCCATCTAGTGGAGGTGCTTTTTGAGTGCTATCGATTTTTTTTAAATACTTCCTCATTGATAATGATAGTCCAGTTATATGTAATAAGTCCATGCACTAAAGTGAAATCATCGTCCATGACATGATCCATCTGTCATGCTAATGTCATAACGTAGGTTGACTGGGGTAGATGCACTGAATGTAAGAAAAAGAGATAAATAAAAGGCGTGGTACGGAAATAATACATAAATAGTATACACAGCAATGTCAGCAACTTTGAAACCCTATTTAACGGCTGTTCGTCATACGCTTACAGCCGCTATGTGCTTAGAACATTTCTCGTCACAGGTTGTCGAGAGATACAACAAGCCTGAAGTCGAGGTTAGAACTAGCAAAGAGTTATTGTTGAATCCTGTGATCATTTCCAGAAATGCTAACGAAAAGGTGCTTATTGAGTCATCTATCAACTCTATACGAGTGAGTATTATGATCAAACAAGCAGATGAAATCGAGAAGATACTTTGTAAAAAATTCATGCGTTTCATGATGATGAGGGCTGAAAATTTTATAGTTTTGAGGCGAAAACCGGTGGAAGGTTACCATATTAGCTTTCTGATTACAAATTTCCACACAGAACAAATGTATAAGCACAAACTTGTGGATTTTGTTATATATTTCATGGAAGAAATTGATAAGGAAATAAGTGAAATGAAATTGGCTGTCAACGCTCGTGCAAGGATCTGCTCAGAGGAGTTTTTAAAGAGATTCTAAGACTTGGCAAATATTGTTAACTTTCTGTGCATTATGTATAAAATAAATGTAAAAAGTTTAGCTTTACAAATTACTTGACATGAGTGGCTGGATCAATATGTATGAATTTAACCTGTGGTTAGGTACTGTTTTGTTTCCTGTTTATGCATTGTCACAATCTTATTGGAATTCATACTTCTAACCGAAGTGGATCAGGACTAAACAAAACATTTTCTCATATTTATTAATAACATTTTGAATATTTATATAATTTATGAAACAATATTTTCCATAAACTGTCCATACACCGTTGCTAGACTTTTAAAAAAAATATTCACTAAATGTGATATGATCACTCATGGGATCTTTGAAGATAATCAATTATCATTTGATATTTGTCTTGTTAGGCTACTATGAAATGAATAATACCAACAGTTTTATATAAGTTAGTCATGCCAATTAGTTGTTTATATTCACTGCATATTAACATATTGTCACATCTGTTATCTTGTAATATTTAAAGATTGGTGGTATGATAAAAGCAAAGCTATCCAATTAAATTTTTATAGGGTTTGTTTTTTTGTTCATAAGATATCTAAATAGTTGAAAAGGGATCCTATATTTAATTAGGCCAAAAAGTATTATACCATTTTAAATGATTTTATTGACATGTAGGTTGGTTTAATTTAATAACAGCACTTATATTTTTAATCAAAGCCATTCCTTTTTATTAATGTAATGATCTTTAATTTTTTGACAAATTGTATTATTCTTTTTAAGTCCATCATTTAATAGAAATTAGAACCAAAACTGCATGTTTTATTTTTATAAAAAAGTCCTCTTTATATAAGCCAATATAAAGAAAAATGTTATTTTCTTAAGATAATTTTATTTAAAATTATTATGAAATATACAATAAATCATTCCTCATAACTCAATAATAGCTGTTCACCAAAGGCAACTTAATAAATACATTTATGTATTTATAAGTCTATAATGTGAAATGAAATTAGAAATGCTATTAATACAAATATTTATGTAGTCTTGTATTTCAAATTAGACTTAGTGTTTTCCTTTCCTAATATATGTATTCAAATGACTATTGTGAGTTTACAAGGATATAACAAAATATTGGTGTACAAAACAAAAAAATTGACGTTTCAGTATTTTTCATATTCAGTTCTTAGATTTTGTCGTCCGTAGAGTGAAACCTTCGCCTTTGAACGCTTCGAAGGGTTCAGTTGGTACTTCTTCCTTGGCACTTGGAGGCCGTGAATTTCTGATGAATTTCAATGTCCCAATAACATAATCATAATCAGGTATACCCCTTTCATATGTCTGCAAAAAAGGAAATGAGGCAATAATAATTTTTCACACCCAAAATCTTTATTAATTAAATTGAGAAAAATCTTTAATAATTAAATTGAGTAAAGTTCGCAATTAATGTAGAACAGAGTGAAATTCGAAATGAAAGAATGACAAAACTGATATACAGTGCAAAAGTGGGAAAACATAGAAGAGGCAAAAAACACCTTTCACAATCAAATTGAATGTATACTGTTAGGTGATAACAGAAGCCATTAAAATGGGTGAGCATGTGTGAATCAAGTAATGGTTTTTTGCATGAAGACTAAATTATCATGCAGGAAAAGATAGACAGAGATTAAAGGAAAATCACATTACTGATACATTATCATCATCATCAGCCCTTTTACGTCCCCACTGCAGGGGCTCAAGCCTTCCTTAAGGATTTAAGGATGGTTAAGGTTACCCTCCACACAGACCCAGTGCGGATTGGAGGGTATTAATAACTGCAAATGCAGCCGGGACCAACGGCTTAAGGTGCCTTCCGAAGCATGGAGTAGATCGAGATAATAGATTTTTTGGTCACCCATCCCATGACGACCCTTGTGAAAGTTGCTTAACGACAACGATCGCGGGCCGCGGTGCTTAACCACTATGCCACTTCACTACACACTATCCATTACTGATACACCAAACTATAAATATACATACTTGTCTAGACTGTGAAGCTTGATGATCTGATTCACTCTCACTTATGAGTTTTTTCTTTTTACCATCCAATCTATTACCCTCGCCACTAAATGCGACAAAACCACTAGGTTCTGGCATCATAGCAGCTGGATCCTCATCCATTCCATCACTCCCACTTTCTCCTTTAGAAACAACTCTTTCCTCTTTGTAGCCAACAGGTGGTGCAAATTCCACCTGTAATATTTTGTTAGTATTATAATTTTACAACACAACTGAATAAACAAAATCATTCTTAATTAATTGAAACAAGAATAGAAATATAACAAATGGGATAACTTGTTAATTATTACTGTGTCTACATATGTCTATTGTGCTTACTCAAAAATTCCTAACTTACATTCATGTCACATTCAATGATGATAACAGCATCTCCTGGCTTTGTCTCCAATACACACAACTCATACACCTTGGAATTATACTTGATAGCTATCACATCCCCAGTTGTTAAGCAAGAGAAATTTCTAAGACAGTTCTCCAAAACTAAAATCAGTTCCGTTATTAGTTAAGTTACTTTTATACAAAGCAATTATAATAAAAGTGAGCTACATTTATGGCTTCACGTTTCATGTGAGTATTGATCTAAACATCATTTGAAGTAAATAAACATTTACTTTTCTTTAAATGTTCTGGCAAACTATAATGAGAACAGCACCGTTTTATGTCTGTTGTAAGTCTTACATTATATAAATCATTATTAGATAACATCAGATACATTTCTCAGAATCCAACATATATAGCTAAAACCACAAAATTAAAATTAATATAGAAAAGTAAATTTTCTACAGTAAACCAGCCACAAATTGACCTCAGGAATCTGCAATATTTAAAACCAAACTGTAAACCACTTGGCTATGGAGATTATCAAATATGTATAGTATAAATAAATAATATCTCACCTGCTTTAGGATTGGTAATGTCAAGAAAATCTTCAGAAAGGGGTTGAAATCCAGAAAAAGTTGCTACAGGCAGTGACACATTTTCAATTTGCAATAAAGCACCTTCTTCAAGTAGCAAATTTGCCATCATCTGTTTAAATAAAATTGATCCTAAGAATACTTTATTAACTTTAACTAAAATGAGCTTATTCTACTAAAAAATATATAAGACAGTATGTGACAGTACATACAGTTTCTTAAATGAGAATTCAAAGTTAAGCAAGTCTCAAACCATACTTAAGCCATATAACTAAACGAAAACCTGTTTAGTTTTTGTTTCTGATTTTAATGATCAGTTGATAACAGATTGATAAAACTAGGACTTCTTGCTATGTAAAACTTAAAAAACGTAAGTTATTGTGAATAATCATTTGAGATTTTGTACTTTTATCAATTCAGATACCAGCATCTTATATTAGTCTTTTCAATCATCTTAATAATACTTACCCAATGAGGCAGATAGACTTTGCCTTCATCTGCCACAAATTCTAACACACCACAATGTGTGACCCTTTTCATTTTTTTGTTAGTTAATTTAAAAATCATAGGGTATTCAATGTTTAATCTTGTAAGTAATTCTAGTGCTGATGGGGGCATTATAACTGCAATTGAAAGGGTAAAATTATGTATTTAAAACTAAACCTTATTAATTTTATCAACCTACACATAAAGTCAGTAAATCTACACATTTTTACACTAAAAAAAGTTGTGTGCATGATTCTTATAGTGGAGAATCAATCTCGGCTGTAGGTTCTCATTCAGTACTATTACAATGATTAAGCAAATAAGAAAGTATAGCTTTTTCTTTTTTGTCTTACTTTTTCCTCCTCTTTCTACATCCTGCCTTTCATTGCCTGGTAACATAGAAACAGAAAAGCATCTGTAAGTTACGTTAAAATTCCTAATTTCGTGGAAAACGTTGAAGCCAAACTAAAACAAAAAAGACATTGTAAGTGTATTTAAAGTTAACAACAACAAAATACGTATCGTTAGAACGTTTTTTACCATTTTGTTTAAAAAATCGTGACAAACTCAATGCAATCTCGATACCCGTTTCTTTCAGTAAAATAAAAGATATTGTTTTAAACTACCAATCTAAATTTCAATTATTCTTCCGATGATTCTATAAAACCAACAAAACAAAATAATCTTTTTTTTTCTTGACTTTTGTAATCACTAGGTTTGTGCTTGCACAAAAATTATCGATACGTATAACAGTATTAAATCATATAATAATCGTTATTAATATATGTGGTGATTCAAATCTTCAATACATATATATCCAAAATCAATATTTATTTCCGAGTTTATAAACTGATAGGTAATTTTATGTGTTTTACTTTTGTTTTACTGCATTATTCTCATAAAATACTCAGAATAGTTCTGATGATAGAAAACTTTGAATCTATAAATGATGTCTTTTTTATTTTATGGTCTTACTTAGCTTACTTAATTGAAACATTTTATTCACCATACAGCCATTTTCTGTCCTCAAAAAATATTTGAATAAAATTATCTATAAGTTATATGTTTAAAAAATGTAAGTGTAGATACGTAAGACCTGATAGTGGAGGCAAAGCAACAAAGAGAAATTGACTGTCTACTGGACAGCTCAATTGCAGACTCCTCTCCATAGAGGAGTATGGTAGAGGTGAAAAGGATTGCCTAAGATTTTTAATGTGCTTCTTTATAAGGACATAGAAATGGTATTGACCATTTAGCCATTGATCTATAAAGATTAATTTCTGGTACCCTAAAGATGGAAAGTGGAAAAGAGGACGCAAGGTAATCAAAGACAAACCATCTGAAACTAATAGCATATCCATGCTGTACAAGATTAACTACGAACTAAGAGCAATTAAAGGATCTGGAAGTAGCTTATGCCAAAAGACGAATTGAATTATGGTATATAGTTTATATTGTTATACAGACTTTTTTGGTCAGTGCAAACATTTTTTTTATTCCATATCAGTAATAGTACACATTTCCATAATTGTCATTTGATCCAGATTGAAATGGTAGAATATGGACAAAGCCGCTGTGTTTCTTGGGCGGCACAACAGTGGTGGCAGTATGATACGCACACGCTGTCATCACGCTCCCGAGTCACGCACAAAGATTTTTGTCGAAGTAAAAGAAACAATTACTGAACAGTAATTAAGTAATGAGATTAAATTCCTTGAACGAGATCTAAGAGCCACATGCGGCACGTCAAAAGTGACGCTGGTATTTTACACAAATTAAATTACAATTTGATCTTAAGTCTAGAAAGAAAATGCAGTCATTAGGACTTGGTAAGCAATTATTTTGGATGAAATTTTTTTCATTATGTATTATTTTTGATTGAACATTATTGTTAGAGTACATTTTTTAATACACCTCAACGCAGAATAAAGTAACCTCTATATAACGTTAATATTCTTTTATTCAAGATATTAAAAACTTTTTGTTTTATTTTCTGCATATTGATGGCCCTAAGCCCATAAAAGTATAAAGGAAAAATAAGAATAACTCTTACAAATAAGAGGCCCCCATATAGACACCTACTTACCTAATTCGTCAAGCGCGTGCTCAGCTGATGCTCATCACGCGGTGCCCATAAAATCAGTTTCAAAGACTCGATTTTTCGGAAGCGGTAACTTTATTTTTTAGTATATAAAAAGGATATATAAAAAAAATGATCAGTGGTAATAATGACATGTATACTAAAATTCAAAATGTTTCTCAAAAAAGAGGGTATTAATTAATCTACACTATAATAATAATAATAACTTTATTTCTCACCACAAACAACTTTACAAAAGGATGTACATTTATTAATTAATTATTGACACGTTATTTGTGGGAGACTGGTGCCTGTTTAGGTTCAACCCCGTATTACAGGTCACCAGGCCCCCCATTGTTTATTTATAAGGTTTATTTTCACTATCCATATGTTAAACATATTACAATATTACTAATATTACAAAGAGGAATGGAGGGAAATGGGTAATTGATTGTTTGTTTGCATCGGATAGGTTCCGAAACTACTGAACAGTATACATATCGATACTACATAAAGTAGATATGATAATAATCGATATAATTTTTCACTTGCGTGTCCCTATCACACATAAGACATTGATTCACACAGAATGAAGATGCAGAAATTTGACAGTTTCTTCTCGTTCAAATATCTAAATAGTGCCGCATAGAGCAGTAGTGTTGTTCTAAATAAAATGAAGGTTGAGGTTGAGCATGTTAGAAATGTTGATCAAAGAATATGTTATATTTTCTCGGTTTCCTTTTTTTTTAATAACGCAGGGAAATACACCTTTAGCCTCAAATTAGGGCTCTGACTGAAGAGCCCTAATTTGAGGCTAAAGGTGTATTAGCTGTCCTATAAAAGACAAATTAGTATTACTGACCTACTTGATAAAACTTTTTTCCTGCAAGGATGACCCGGTCGTCTTGGTTTGCCTATACGAGGGTCAAACTGAAAGTTCTTAGAAAATCAAAAACTGATTACATTAGCCAGTTATTAGTTTTATTATATCTTTTCAAAATATTGTCCATTCACGTCAATACACCGCTGCATGCGATGGAACCACTGGGAAAAGCACTTTGCCCACTCGTCCTTAGGGGTCTCTTCAATGGCATCGCGATACGCAGCCACCGCTTCTTCAGCATTCATAAACCGCTTTCCTTTAAGTTTTTCTTTAATTTTTGGAAATAAATAAAAATCACAAGGCGCGAGGTCGGGGCTATACGGCGGGTGACCCAGTAATTCAACGTTTGATGTCGCCAAATAGTCGATCGTTCGCTTGGCGGTGTGCGACGAGGCGTTGTCGTGGTGAAGGAGGATCCTACTGCGAGGTCGTTTCTCTCGAACTTTTTCCAAGACAAGTGGCAAACAATTGGTAGTGTACCATTCTGCAGAAACTGTTGTTTGATCCTCTAACACAATTGTTGCAAAATGACCTATCCTTCCAAAGAACGAGGCCACCATTTTTTTTCCCGCACTTCGATCTCTCTTCACTTTAGTTGGCAACTCCTCGAAAGGAAACACCCACTGAGCAGATTGTCTTTTGGTTTTAGGATCATAACAGTAAATCCAGCTTTCGTCACCTGTTAGTATGTCGAACACAGCATTTGAGTCACCTCCGTTAAATCTTTCAATCATTTTACGACACCAATCCACACGATGGAGTTTTTGAGCCTCAGTCAAATTATGAGGTATCCACCGGGCGCAAAGCTTCCTGACCGCTAAATGTTCGTGGAGGATTTTGTGCACTTGACTCATACCGATGCCTAAGCTTGTCCGAATCTGTTGATAGGTCACTCTTTTGTCAGTCTCTATCATACGCCGCACAACACAGATGTTATCTTCAGTCGTCGCCGTAGAAGGCCGTCCCTCACGTAAATCATCAGTGAGATTAGTGCGACCACGTTTAAACTCATTAAACCAGTTGTAAACAGTCGCACGAGATGGGGCTTCATCGTGAAAGGCCAATCGTAGTCTATCATAACTTTCTTGTTGACTTAAATGACATCGAAAGTCATAAAAAATCATTGCACGAAAATTTTCTCGTGTTAAATTCATGATGACGTGACACAGACAATTTTCAATTTGCCGCCAAATCGTAAAACAAATGACAAATGAATGAAATATATACTCAGTAATATTGGCAAAGAGTTATATTTTCAAATTTTAGAATTATTTTTTTATTATATTGTTTATAAGTGGCCAGTTCTAAGAACTTTCAGTTTGACCCTCGTACTAATAAATTAGCCCTCTTTCACCTGAGAGATAAAAGTTGTATAGACGCTTCTAAAACATTAATTTAGGCGATAGATTTAAATCCAGATTCAATTTAACGCTGCTGTGCAATAAAAAAGCGATGCATGTTACAAATCTAATATTTGTTCTATGTATATAATTTTTCAATGATCGTTAAAAAACTCACATTTTTTAAATACAAAAATGCAACTTATATCTATAGGTATGTAAAAAAATGACGTAGTTTATGTTACCATTTCTAACGTCAGTAGCAAGAAGCTGTTATTCTGAAGCAAAGAGTACTGTTTTAGGTCAGCAGAAGGACAGCAGTCAGCTAGAACAGCACTGAGTTTTTTTTGGGGTCAGTTACTAAACGCGTCTAAACTGTGGTGTAAACGCCCCCTGATTACTGAACGTTACTATACTATCGGAAACTTTCCTTTTCCGACAGCTGCCATTTCATTCATTGTGTATGTGGCAGCCGCGAGTGAGGATTATCTGTTGTTCTTTCCCCAAAATTAAATGATTATCATCTAATTAGATACTTAATGTAGAATTTAACATAATAGTGAGTAAACCGTGTTAATGTTTAGGTTTTAAATATTTATTCGGACACAAGTATTCATTGTCATTTCTTAGTCGAACACGAACGCCATGTTGATTGTCAAAAGTGTTTTCAAATGAGACAGCAGTGAAATAGATTTTGTGATATTTTTCAGACACCGCGCTTTGAAAGAGTCGATATTTATTCAGTTTCGTGTACTTAGGGTTGAAGACACACGCAACCATGGCGCAAATGTTACCAATACGTTTCCAAGAGCATTTACAGGTGAGTACGCCCATCGGTTCTATTGGATTTGCCGAAAGTGCTTCCTAGAAGGAAGTAGTTTGTCAGACAGCATATTAAAGATCTGCTATTCAATATTCGTGCATATTCGATATTTTAGAGAAAAAGCGATCTTTGTTAGTCACATTGCGGTATTATAAAATGTCAGTTGTCCACCCCCTATTCGGCATTCGGGATTGTGGTCGGTATTGATTTGTTCCACATTCCCTACTGGATCATGTCATGTTTTTGGAATGATTGCCAAATATGATTATCCAGGTCATTAGGAGCATAAAAACAACTGCTAAGCCTTTTTAAATATTTGTAGCCTCATTGAGTTTGCATTATGTTTTACATAGCACTTGACATTTTTTTTAATCTACCCATGAATGAAATTCTTTTAGTTTTTACAAAATATTATGGCTATGTTTTAGATAATTACAAAATATTAATAATTATTATATAGATTTACTTTATTAAACCAATTCCTTGAATAATACCTATAATGTGGAACAAATGAATGAAAAAAATCTTAAATAATGTCATTATTTTGAAATTTTAATTATATTATTTTACATAATGTACAAATCAATATCTATAATTATGGAAGCAGTTTTATAAATAGAAAAACAAAAAAAAATAAATGAAATTCATAATTAAAAATAATTTCAGCTTACAAATGTCGGAATCAACCCAGCTTCAATATCATTTAATACTCTCACAATGGAATCTGACAAGTTCATCTGTGTTCGTGAGAAAGTGGGTGAGACTGCCGAGGTGGTGATAATCGACATGGCAGATCCGACCAATCCTATCCGCAGGCCAATTAGTGCTGACTCTGCCATCATGAATCCTGCGAGCAAGGTCATTGCTCTTAAAGGGAAGGCTGGAGTTGAAGGTGAGTTTTTTATAGGTTAAAAGGAAGAAAGAAAAAGGTTTTAATTTTATTAAGAATTTACTTTCACTTCAAGTTGAATAGTATTAGATTTTAAGGAACTATCAATCAATTTTAAACCTAATTAGGTATATGTGTTAAAACACAACTTAATATTAACATACCTAAATGAAAATTAATTGTTATCTTTGGATAACCTGATGTCATACTATTATATATTTAAAGAGTTTAAGAAACTATGTTACAGCTTCCCAAAGTGGTCTGGATAATAACACACTTTACATTGCTTACTTTTTTCTTACATTGTCAATATTTGTTTTGACTGTTGTGTCCAGGGTTCAAAGGGTCAATTTTAAAACACTACACAATCTTTTACAGAACTTCTGACAGAGAAAATTGTCTAGGATGCACCAATAAAAGCAAAGAAATATTAAAGCTCCCTTTTTTTATTTATTTATGTTTTCATTTTATTTTCGTTAAATGTGATTTCACAGGTAGTTTAATTTTTATAATTTAAAACAAAAAAAATAAAATTGATCAATTATGAATGCCTGTCTGTATTTTAAAAATTGTTGCTAGAAACTATGGATAATTATCAGATATTTGTCGGATAATTGTCCGACAACTATTACGATGATTACCCAGAAAAAAATATCTTGATAATTTTAAACCCTGCTTGTGAAATGGATGTTTCATAAAGTGGTCATCAAATTTCTGTGATTAGTAATTTCTCTATCATTATGCAATAAAAGATAACTGATAGACTATCCAATAAGCATTGTTAGTCAGTTTTATTTTGTAATCATTTTACTTTTAAACTTCAAATCTAAACATGCATTAGCTGTAGTCTCCTTTTTGTATTTCACAACAGTTGAACTTAATTTTTAGATTCGTTTAGGTTTAACTTAAACTATGTATAATAAAATATTATAGATGTTTATATAATCAATTGATAACTATTTCAAGCAACGGTGACAACATAACTTAGTACACTAATTAATTGGTTCTATGTAATTGAATCTTGTCCTGAACAATTGCTAATGTGATTTGTTTGTGATCTAAAGCTCTGTTCATATGTTAATATCTAAGTAGACAGGTAAATCTAATTTTGGGAACTAAACTGAAATAGAGATGACAACTGGGTAAAAAAAATAGTCTGTTTAGCCCGTCCGTCAGATAATAGTAAAATTTAAATACATACTTTTTTAATTTAATTTAACGAGAAATAGCTTAGATTACAACGGGCATTAAAGTTGAGGAGTGGGGGCCCGCTACGTCACAGTTATGTAGAAAATGTACCGTATCATCGCCGTAATATAATGATTACAAAAATTAAGTACGTGTTTAATATTTTCTAACAATCTGACGGATAAACAAACAAAAATTTGTCGTAATCCGTATTCTAGTGCGATTATATATTGGGGCGTGTATAGATAGGGCCGTGTCATGTGTTACGTAATTACGCACTCTTATTTTCATAATGACGTCATTGTGCTGCTTTGAATATAATTGATGATAAGTTTTGATATTTCATCTCTTTTTCTCATTAAGTTTATCTGCACTCTTTATGTGATTATTGTAATGATTAAAACGAAATGGTTCTAGTATATATCATGTACTAACTTCAAAAGGGGTCGCGTTTGAATAATATTATTGGCATTTGCTTCAGCTCGGTGTTACGTCTTCTATATTGACTAGTATAATGCATCTGAATGAGTCATGCCAGCGCCATGTAGACGCCCCGTCCCGACCTCTGTTTAACAAAACCTTAAAAGGTCATGGTAATATCCCGGTTTCCTTAATAATTCTCAAACTACATTGAAAATATGGAAACCAACTTAGTTGTATAACAGGCAAAATAATCATAACTACAGATTCTAATCCCGCATTAAAATCTTGAATCCGCAAACCTGAACCCGTTAGTAGTCTGTTTTGGTTTGGTTTTATTTTGATAGGAAAAACTTTGATTATTTTTAGATGTCTCTTAGGTTAGATACGGAAGTCAAACAAAAAGGGCAAAAATACTTTAAATAAACAAAAGTTTCGTACTGGTAATGTTGAACGTATTAGGAAGCATTGATTAATTCGGACATGTGATTTTTCTTTTGCTCGTCGGCAGGGTTCGTAATTATCAAGATGAATATTTTTTTTGGATAATTAACCGATAAAATCTGATAATTATCGGTAGTAACTGGCAATAATTTTTAAAAAATAACTGAAATCACGGATAATTTAAATGAAGGATATTTCAATATTTTGTTTTGTTTTTTTAGGTCTATCTTACACAATTTTCTCTTTTCAACTACAATTTTCTCTATCAGAAAAACATATTTGTTAGTTCTTTAAAGATGATTCCCCTCTAATTACAAGTCCTAAAGTACAAAAAAAGGTTGTGTAGTGTATTATAATTATCACTATAATTGTGACTCCGAACTCTGCTCGTCGCTAATACTGATGTGCGGAAATACGCATTTAATTATTATAGAAATCACGAGGATCTCGCAAAAAAGTCTCACTTTTGCGGGATCGGATTCCCAAGTTATGACACATGATCAATATCATGCAGTTAGTCTAGTCTGTTACAAGTACTTGTAAGGGCGAAAATTCACCCTATCAGTTCCCTTACTCTAGTACACTTTGGCAGTAGTGTATGCAATCAAGAGCGCGAAGCTGCACAATAGGGATGACGAATGGGTAAAAAAAAATGCAATTCTATTTAGTCCGTCAGTCAGATAATAGAAAAATATTAGATACGTATTTTTTTTTACTTCAATTTAACAAGAAATAGCTTAGATAACAGGCATTAAGGTTAACGTTATGTGAAATTTCAACTCCATGTAACGCCGTAATTTTATGATTACGAAAAAGTAAAAAAAAAACGTGCTTAATATTTTTTAACTACATAACGGACATACAAACAAAAATTTGTCGTCATCCCTATTGCAATGTCTATCGTTCGCGATTGCGTTCGAGAGTAAGAGGGCTGTTTGTAAACTGTTGGATGGTGACCACTACTGATCGTCTTGTTTTATAGATCTCTATAAAAACTGAATGGATGGTCATTTTATTAGAGAAACATACGGTATAATGTTTACGTCTTTGCAGCAGCTTTATCTCTTTGAATATTGTAGAATTTGGCAGTGATTCATAATGTGTTATTTTGGCACTAACCTGAAATACAACGAATATGAAAACAGAAGATGGTTCACACGCCGTTCTCAAAAAGAAACATTGAAATATTTCCTTGATTTGGACACTAGTTGATTATTGTTAATACCGTTCAAATTATCATCAAACGGATAAGGTCAATGATATTGATAAGGTATCTTTGTTACGGTTACTAACCCTTTTTGTTCTAATATTTGTAAATAAAAATAGGAAGCGTTTAAACATGTTCATATATTCCGCCTCCGAGGATCGTGCGTAGACAAAGATTTAAAAGTTATGCACATAGAAACATCTTCAACGATCAAATTGATACATTTTTAAAGGGCAGTGATGTTAGGCATAAAACCGCTACGCGTAAATGAATGTGTTATGAATATTAAGAAACCGAAAGACAAAAGTGTAAAATTTGTGCCTATTGCGTTTGGCCCTTTCTGCTCACCCCGCAAGGGTGTCCTGGATTATCCAGATCAGATTTGCACCGACCCCTGTATGAGCACTGACCCAGGCTTGATACATGGCAGGCCAGGCCCACTTCTATAGGGACGGTATACTAAAGGGGTTTATGACCTTGTAGATTTAGCCCTGTATACATCCATGATTTACCCTGCCAAAATGATACATGCAACACACATTTCTATCCAAATCAACATACTTTTTATGTTTATAATCTAAATATATATAACTCATAGGCGACTGACTGTCATAGTGATCTATCAACGCACAGCCCAAACCATTGAACGAATCGGGCTGATATTTGGCATGCAGTTAGATGTTATGACGTAAGCATTCGCTTAGAAAGGATTTTGATCAATTCTACCCCCAAGGGGATAAAATAGGGGATGAAAGTTTGCACGAAACTTTATTAATATTAATCTGATCGGGCTGAGACTTTGCATGAATAAAGCTACTATGACGTAGGCATCCTCTAAGAAAGGATTTTAATTAATTCTACCTTCAAGGGGATAAAATAGGGGATGAAAGTTTTTATGAAACGTTGTCAACTTTAAACCGATCGGGCTGAGACTTTGCATTCATAAAGCTACTATGACGCAGGCATCCCCTATGAAAGAATTTTGATAAATTCCACCCCAAAGGGTATAAAATAGGGGATGAAACTTTATTTCAGGTATTTTACACGTTTTAATAAATAAATATTCGTTGGAAATGCCGCTCAAAGTAACTTTACCACGCGGACTAAGTCGCGGGCAAAAGCTAGTATAACATAAACCTATAAAAGTATGTTTAATATCGATCTAGTCAATCTTTATGTCAATTGGTGGTATCAAACACCACGTTGAGATGTTCTCACGCTTGACCTCTTTCAATCAATACGGGTTAAATGACTTTGGAATATAATTTATTCCTATCCGACATAAATATTATTGACGATAATAAACCCCTAATGGCTATAGTGATGTACGAATAGGTATAGAACCAGCTGTCCTAATAATAAAATTTGCAAATGTCTACCAACGAAGCAGTAAAACATTAATTAGAAGAAAAAAAAAAAACAGAATTTATTCTATTATCTATGGTGCGCAGGATTAATACATACATACCTATTTGAGTCACTTTAGATCAGAGTTCTTTACGAAGCAGTTTTAACATAAATCGTAGTAGTTTGCGATTTATTAATTAAAAATAGTTGTTGATACGTCGTCCTCTGTACTTATCTATATCTCTCTGTACTTGTCACGTTTTCTCTTTTGTCTATACTTCGATCACTAACTCAAGTTACTGAAAATATCTATTCTAATATTATAAAGAGATAATGTTTCTAACTTTGTTTGTAGAGGGGTAATCTTCGGAAATGCTGATTAGAATTTCATGAAAAT